GGTAACTTGATGGGCAAGCGTGTCGACTTCTCTGCCCGTACAGTCATCACAGGTGATGCCAACATCTCGCTGGATGAAGTCGGTGTGCCCCGTAGCATCGCGCGCACACTTACATATCCCGAGACTGTGACGCCCTACAATATTGGCAAACTCACCCAATACGTCCAGAACGGCCCTAACGAGCATCCGGGTGCCAAGTATGTTATTCGCTCAGATGGCAGCCGTGTTGATCTACGCCATCAGAGGCGGACAGGTCCGCTACAGCTGGAATATGGCTGGAAGGTTGAGCGCCATCTCATCGACGGTGATTACATCATCTTCAACCGTCAGCCCTCTTTGCACAAGGAATCCATGATGGGTCATCGTGTCAAGGTCATGCCCTACTCGACCTTCAGACTTAACCTTTCCGTCACATCTCCTTACAACGCCGATTTCGACGGTGATGAAATGAACCTTCACGTTCCTCAAACCGAAGAAACTCGTGCTGAAGTCAAGGAGCTTTGCATGGTTCCTCTCAACATCGTCTCGCCGCAGCGTAACGGTCCGCTCATGGGTATCGTGCAGGATACTTTGGCTGGTGCTTACAAGCTTTGTCGTCGTGACGTCTTCCTTACCAAGGAGGAGGTCATGAACATTATGCTCTGGGTCCCCGAGTGGGACGGCATCATTCCTGTCCCTGCAATCCTCAAGCCTCGTCCTCGCTGGACTGGTAAGCAGATCATTAGCATGGTTGTTCCCAAGATCATAAACCTCAAGAACATCGACGAGGATGATGGTGAGTGCCCTCTTAAGGACAAGGGCATTTTGATCCAACAAGGTGAGGTGATTTTCGGCTTGATGACGAAGAAGATTGTGGGTGCCGCTAGTGGCGGTATCGTCCATCTCTGCTACAACGAGCTGGGTCCTAGCGGTGCTATGGATTTCCTCAACGGCTGCCAGAGAGTCGTCAACTACTGGCTCCTTCACAATGGCCATAGCATTGGTATTGGTGACACCATTCCCGACGCTGCGACCATCGCCAAGGTCCAGACGCACATTGACGATGCCAAGGCAGAAGTCAAGCAGCTCACAGATATGGCCACCAACAATCAGCTTGAGCCATTGCCCGGTATGAACATCCGTGAGACCTTCGAAAACAAGGTCTCCAAGGCTCTTAACACGGCCCGTGACAAGGCCGGTACTACCACTGAGAGCAGTTTGAAGGATATCAACAACGCCGTAACCATGGCTCTGTCTGGTTCCAAGGGTTCCTCCATCAACATCTCTCAGATGACTGCCTTGGTCGGTCAGCAGATTGTCGAAGGCAAGCGTATTCCTTTCGGCTTCAAGTACCGCACACTGCCACATTTCACAAAGGATGATTACTCGCCCGAAGCCCGTGGTTTCGTCGAGAACTCGTACCTTCGTGGTCTTACTCCTTCAGAGTTTTTCTTCCACGCCATGGCTGGTAGAGAAGGTTTGATCGATACCGCTGTCAAGACAGCCGAAACTGGTTACATTCAGCGTCGTTTGGTCAAGGCCCTTGAAGATTCGGCTGCGCAGTACGATGGTACTGTTCGCAACTCACTGGGTGATATCATCCAGTTCGTCTACGGTGAAGATGGTCTCGACGGTATTGCCATCGAGAACCAGCCTGTCGACCACTTCACGATATCCAACAAGGCTTTCGACAAGCGTTATCGTCTCGATGTCATGGACGAGGAGGTGTCCTCGAGCGAGCTTGAAGCGCTGGAATACGGAAAGGAGCTTGCCAGTGATCCCACTGTTCAGGAGCTTCTTGACCAGGAATACGAACAGCTTTCGGTCGATCGCCACATGCTTCGTGAGATCCAGCGCACGAAAGGCAACAATGACACGAAGATGCAGCTCCCTCTTAACATCATTCGTATCATTGATACTGCCAAGAAGCTGTTCAAGGTGGATGAGACCGCTCGCAGTGACCTTACCCCCAAGGATGTCATTCCTGCAGTTAAGGCCATGCTTGATCGCATGATCGTTGTCAGAGGAGACGATCCTATTTCCAAGGAGGCAGACTACAACGCCACGATCCTGTTCAAGGCCCAGCTTCGGTCTCGCTTGGCGTTCAAGCGTCTTGCTGTCCAAGATAGGATCAACAAGTTGGCCTTCAACCACATTCTCGGCGAGCTCGAGAACCGTTGGTCGAGGTCGATGGTTTCTCCGGGTGAAATGGTCGGTGTGTTGGCTGCCCAGTCTATCGGTGAACCCGCCACCCAGATGACACTCAACACTTTCCATTTCGCCGGTGTGTCCTCCAAGAACGTCACCCTTGGTGTGCCGCGTTTAAAGGAAATTCTTAACGTTGCTTCGAACATCAAGACTCCTTCCATGATGGTCTATCTCGACTCCAAGGCAGCGACCCAGGAGGAGGCCAAGAAGATGCGCAGTGCTGTCGAGCACACGAGTCTTCGCTCCGTTACGGCTGTCACTGAAATCTACTATGATCCCGATATCACATCGACCAACATCCCCGAGGATTACGATTTGGTCGAGTCCTACTTCCTCATTCCCGATCAGAGCGGCGACGAGCCAGATCCGATTGAGAACCAGTCCCGTTGGCTTCTGAGAATCACTCTCGATCGTCAGAAGATGCTCGACAAGGGTCTCCGCGTTGAGGACGTTGCTCACCGCATCAAGGAGGTTTACAAGAAGGATGTTGCGGTTGTCTTCTCCGACAACAACGCTGAAGAGATGGTCATCCGTATCCGTGTTATTAAGGCGGACGATGACAAGGATGAAGATGGTAACAAGATCATCGAGGATGATGTGATGCTCAAGCGTCTTGAGAAGCATCTCCTGGACGGCTGCACACTTCGTGGTGTCGAGGGCATTGAGCGTGCCTTCTTGAACAAGGGTGTTAAGCTGATCGAGGCCAAGGATGGTTCCATGAAGCACTCCAAGGTGGACGATGAGTGCCAAGAGTGGTACCTTGATACACAAGGTACCTCTCTTCGTGAGGTCTTGACTGTCGAGGGTGTTGATACCAAGCGCACCACTACCAACGACTTGTGGCAGGTTGTCGATGTCTTCGGTATCGAGGGAGCTCGCGCTGCTCTGATGCACGAGTTGACGGCTGTGTTGGCTTTCGACGGTTCGTACGTCAACCATCGTCACTTGGCACTTCTTTGCGATGTGATGACATACAGGGGCAGTATCGCCGCCGTCACACGTCACGGTATCAACCGCGCTGATACTGGTGCGCTCATGCGTTGCTCTTTCGAGGAGACTGTCGAAATTCTCCTGGAAGCTGCCGCCGTCGGTGAACTTGATGACTGTCGTGGTATTTCCGAGAACGTTATGTTAGGCCAGATGGCTCCCATGGGTACCGGCGCCTTTGACGTTTTCCTCGATCCCAAGATGTTGGAGACCGTCATCTCTGACAACTCTCGCATGGGTCTCATGCCGGGCATGACCGTGAAGGGCAGTCAGCTAGATGGCGCGGCTACGCCTTATGATACAGGCTCTCCGATGGCCGACAGTGGGTTCCTTGGAAGTTATTCGCCTACTATGGGCAACTTCTCTCCTATCCAGGGCGCTGGATCGGACAGCCCGACGAACAACGGCTTTGGCACCGACTACGGTGGCGTTGGCGGATACGGTTCTGGCACTTCCTACTCTTCGGCTACCAGCCCTCGTGCCACCAGCCCCTTCACACCCACGTCACCATTCAGCTATGGCGGGTACTCGCCATCGTCGCCCGCGGCTGGCTACTCGCCCAGCTCACCTCTCCTCGACTCTTCTGGTCGTTTCGCTTCCAGCCCACAATTCAGTCCCTCGTCGCCGTCGTTCTCGCCAACTTCGCCGATGCTGCGCCCTGGAAGCCCGACCAGCCCGAGCTACAGCCCTACCTCCCCGAGTTACTCGCCGGCATCGCCAGCTGCCGCCAGGTACTCGCCCACCTCCCCCGCCCAACAATTCTCTCCGACGTCACCCTCATACTCCCCCACGAGTCCGAGCTACAGCCCGGCCTCGCCCGCTTTCCAGGCTACCTCGCCAAGCTACTCTCCGGCGTCGCCTACCTGGTCGCCAACCTCGCCGGACGCTTACTCGCCCACGAGCCCGTCGTTCCAGCGGTCGCCTGGTCAGCAGCTGTCCCCTACTAGCCCAACGGGTTACTCGCCGACGTCGCCGCAGTACTCGCCGCGGACGCCGGGACGTAATAACTCGGGGGGCAACGGGGATCAATAGTAAGTTGTGGATCAGTCTGTTGCTTGGGGTAGACAGCTTTGCTAACAGGAATCCTCAGTTCTCCCACTTCGCCATCGAATGATTAATCATCTTAAGAAGTCGTTCTGATCGAGTGGAATTGGGTTGAGTCGGAAGACAAAGCATCAATGCTTGAAGGGGAGAAAAGGAAGGGAGATCGAAACAAATTGCCACTACAACACCGTATATAACAAAAAAGGAAGGGTGGCTTGGCAGTAGCTAAATGAGCGCGAGCGGGGAGTTGCTTTTTCTATCACATTGTTCGTCCTATTGTCGCAACACATCAAACTGCATTTTCCTTTCTTCTTGGGCCGCCGTCATCTGCTTCTTCGTTTCTACTAGAGTTGGAGATAAACTAGCTGAAGCACCTTTTTACGTACGTATAAAGAAGAAACGCAGCAGAAAGCAGAGCGAATCAGTCAAAGTTGGGAAAGACAAAATATCATTATCATATCAGCATTTCATATTTCTTGTTCGTTCATGTCTGTTACTGGTGATGGGTGGCCTTGCTCACATTTCGCTTCTCATAAGGAACAAAGATTGATCTGCTTTTCCTTGCTCAAAGGGGTTCTTTACCGTTGGTTCATACTAGGCAGGCGAATAGGGGGAACAGCGCCTCTTCACTTTTTGGTAGCCATCAGATTGCGCGATAGCATTGGCGATGGATGGGTGGTTAGAGAACAAGTAATTCCGCAGGAAATAGTCACAACCGATATCTCCAGTGAATATTTGACTTGAACTGAATAGAAAACTGATCACATATCATTCCAATCTCTCCGTGGCCACCATCGTACGTCCATCCTCACACCTTAAACCTTAGAACTAGTCTCTATCACATGACCTCCGTCGACAACCTTCAGCGGACCCGCCCCACAAAAGTGTGGGTCTCCTCTCCTCGAACTTGGTGAGAGGACCGCCAACAGATAAATAAAAACCCTCCCTTACCTTTCATTTTCCTATTCTTCTCTCATGTTTCTATGCCGACAGAGCTTCAATTATTATCCTCCTCGGTGCCAATCCACACACAACTGACGCCTAAGACTGAATGAACTTCTCATCCCCACCCAAGATAGCCACCATACAATGTCGCCCACAACAACACCTACCCTTCCAAAGGGCTACGTGCTCCACGCGGGCTATCCTCCCGTTTCCTCCTACAGGCATCTCCGGTCCGCCTCGGGGCTAACCCCTCGATCCGTCGCCCAAGCAGCGCCTGTCCCGTCCAATTCCTGGTACGGATGCTACATCACGCACGACGACAACAAGCCCGTAGCAATGGGACGAATCATCGGCGATGGAGGATGGTACTTCCACATCGCCGACATGGCTACCCTCCCAGAGCATCAGCGTAAGGGGCTAGGAGATGTGGTCCTCAAGGAATTACTTGCTTACATTGCTCGCAACGCGCCTTGTGATGAGAAGGAGGGTGAGTACCCTTATATTACGCTTTTTGCGGATGGGCCGGGCAGGAGGTTGTATGAGAAGAACGGGTTCAAGGAGACGGCCCCGCGTTCAACTGGAATGGTACTATCATATGATCGCGGGCTTGTTGTGCCTGGGCGGTGGGTAGGTAGGGAAGTAGTAACACCCGAGGATGATGAGAGTTGCTGCTGAGGATGGGAGTAAGGGATGGCGAATATGAGGCGACGGATGTTTGACTAGGTAGGCACTCACCGGAGTTGTACGGTGTGGTAATGACTGTGAATATAAACCAGGGATTTCGCATGCTCTACTTGCCTTTTACATGTCTTCTTTCGTGATTGTTGTTGAATTTTGAAAAGGGCGAAATTCTTTCGATGACTACTTAATCGAGGCTAACGCTTGTGGGTAGGTAGGTTGCAATTCAAACAGCCGTACCGAAGCGGGAAACCCTGAGTCGCAACAAGCGTTGTCTAGCAAGCCCCTAGAAGTCAAAATTATAGGGTATAACCTTCTATACCTTACATAGTGGTCTTTGAGGATGTTTTTGCTAGCCTTTGAAGACTACTAAAGTGAAGGCCTAGCTGGAAGTCAGAATCGTATTACAAAAAGTTGGTTACGAATAGGAATCGAACAAAGGTTACGAGCAAGAATGAGCAACAAAGAACTACTTTATCAACTGCTTAGCTACCTACTGAGCTAAGTGGTTATTTCTGGAGGAAAGGGCTAGTTCTTTCCGTCGATAAAGGGGACGTTGGATACCTATTGGGGGAAGGTAGGACGTTAAGACTGAGAGAAATTTCGAAATTCGGACCCGACCCAGCTCCAAAACCGAGGACACTATATTACAGCGCTTACCCCCCCTATAGAAAAGATGCATTGACTACGAAACATTGATTGTGGTTATTGTCCGATAACTACAACGCATGTCGGAGGTAGTGATTTGTAAACTTGGCCTGCCTGGCAACTGAAGCCATTTGCTTCTTCTTTGAAACCTCTCTGTTCCTATCTCCTAGTCTCTGGCCTGGTTTCTTAGTTTCCCGTCTACCGCGAATCAACGCAAAGTTTACTAAGCATCACTTTTGGGGTGGCAGATGGGATCAGGGGAAAACGAATGAGACGACAGCCGTCCCATCCCATCTTCCTCGTTACGATTTCCTCCAAGTCAGCCATCTAGACACATAATGACAACAATGTTGATGGCCCGATTCAAGCTATGAATTCAAATCAATCATTCTTTCTACCATTAGTTCACCTCGTCTCAGTGTGATGGCTTATCGTCCTGGTTGATACTAGAGCCTGCATGACTGGATCATATTATGAGGTTCTTAAGCTGAGTTCCTTATCCACGTGTTGGCCATTCTTCTTCTTCATCAATCCCGACCATCCATCTGTTTCAACGATAACCAATGGATAGAGGAACTCATGGGTGTCCTTGCCTGTGCGGCTGGAAGCCTGGATCTGCATCTCTACCTTACGTTGGCTCTTTCTTGATTTGGCTCAGGCCCAACATCTCTGTTCAATGTCCCCGCAACCATTTTTCGGCCGATAAGTGAAAGCCCGGTATAACTTCCGGTTCAGAGGCTGATGCTTCACTGATCTGTCAGTGCCCGTTTAGTTCTGCACAAAGCAACCTTACTCGATGATAGGTATGGATCGTCTCGGTGAAGAGAGAGCCCTAGCCTTGAACCATCATCAGCCAGATCTGCTGCTCGATCCCGAACCTTTCTTTGCGCTCTCGTCGTCCCCCCGGTCATGGTCCGACATCGTAATGGAATACTCCTCCCGTCATCTCTCCTTTGCCTCCGACAAACTACGCGCCCTGTCCGCCATCGCCCAGGTATATCATCGAGAATCGGGCAAGGAATATCTGGCCGGAGTGTGGAGGGAGGACCTTCCGCTGGCGCTTTGCTAGTTTGCGATGCCGTAGACGAGTTGTAATATTACGAATGCAAATGAGAATAACCTCGACTCCGAATCATCCTCCAAAAACCTCCAAAAAACGGCCAACAGATGATCGAGGCCCCTCCTGGTCTTGGGCGTCCATCGACGATGCCGCGTTTATGTACCCCGCCGCCGATGAGCAGAAGATCCAGGTTCTCGGGCCAGCGCCCAGCGTGAAGATTCTTCAAGCCGCGGTCACCCCGGCTTATGCTGGCGGGGAGTTTGACTCTGTTGTTTCTGGGTGTCTTGACATTGAAGGGGCAATGAGAGAAGTGACGGCGCGGGTCAGGTGGAGCAGCCCATCATCGCTAGGCTCTCGCTCTGTATCTCAATCGGGTGAGATAAATGTCCCGGTGGGAGGACAGGGACAAGAAGTGATGGTGACACTAGATGCTGCTCCCGAAAAAGAAGACGAGGGAGTCGAGAATGATGGGGATGGCAGAACCGGCATATGGCTTCTTTTGTTGGCGGAGCAAGTGGAGGAAGAAGAAGAAGAAGAAGAGGAGGAGGAGGAAGTGGAAGAGGATGACGAGGGACAGCATGAGTTTAACATTGGCAAACCTACCTCGCCAGCGTATGCTGGACTTGTTCTGAAAGAATTGGTCCATGGACAGTCGGACAGGCTTCGTCGTATACGTTTTCCCATTGCTGTGAGATTTCGGATATGGGGCATACCGGTGATGGATGTCTGGATCTCTTGAAAGAGTTTGAGATTAGAAGGGTAACTCTTGTTTGAGACATCCAGAAGGTGTACCTTGTCCTGCTGCTAGCATACATCAGTGTCCAACAAACAATCCATATATGCATACCGTAATCCGACAAAACAACAAAACGAATCCTTCTCGTCATAAACACCCCTTAACCTGCTGCTTGCTTCCCATTACTACTCCCCGGCACCGGATGACTCGAGCTAGCAGCTGCCTTCTCCGCCTTCTCCGCCGCCTCCCTCAACTTCTTCTCCCTCACAAAGTTGACAAAGTATTCTGACCTCAAGTCTCTACCACCTAGACCCGTATCCTTCCCTTTCCCTTTCACCTTTTTCCCTTTGCCCTTATCTTTCACAATCCCCCCCGAACTGACCCCAATACTAGACATGACGACTGATGTCGACGCCGACCCCGAACCCGATCGCGAACTTGACGGTGCCCCCGCTCCCACCGCTTGCTTCTTCTGCAAAAACCTCTTGCTGCTGCTGGTAATATGCGCAAGTCGGGAGAGGTTCGAAGAAGTTAAGCTGAATTTCCGCTGACGCTGGAGACGCGGTGGCAAGCTGGGATCGGGGATGCTATCTGCGTTGCTGATTTGGGTTGAGAGGGGGTTAAGATTGGTTGTAGTCATGGTAGTAGAGCGGCGGGAGGGAGGAGGAAGTACGTTGTTGTTGTTGTTGTTGTTATTGTTGTTTGCATCGGTGGTGGCCGCGCTGGACAGAAGCCTTGAGCTGGTTGTGGAGGAGGGGACTAGACCTGAGGGGACAGATGGGGCAGAGGGGTCGGGGATGCTATCTGCGTTGCTGAGTTGGCTGAGGAGGGGGAGGTTGGTGTTGGCGGGGATTTGGGTGATCAGAGGCCCGGGGCGGGAAGGGCTTGGTGCGGCGGTGAAGTGTGGTGCTGGTGCGGAGGGAGCAGGAGTGCCTGGTATGATTTGGGACTGAGGATGGATGTCTTCCCCTTGGCGTGGTGGTTGATGGGTAATGGGATGGCCCGAGGAGCCAAAGTCGAATTTCGCAAATCGACGAAGAGGGGGTGGACTGATAGAAGCCTGTTGCGTGGTGATCTTGGACGATGATGGCGGAGGTGGTGCTGGGCTAGTATCCAGTTGTGGCCTCTCAAAGGCCGCTGATGCCTCTCGTGGAGATTGGTTGACACCGGGCTGTTTTTGTAGTTGAATGACTTTTGTGGTTCGGGAACTAGGGCCTCCTTGTGAATGAGTAGGTGTTTGTGGAAGTACAGAAGGCGGCGAGGGAGGAGGCGAAGGAGATAGCGATGAGGACGAAGACGCCGAGCCTATCTCAATAGGCGCAGCGTCTGAACCCGGTATTGGCTCATCTACAAGAGGAGACTCAAGTTCTAGAGGGCGGTTGGAAAGTCGGCGCGGAACCGAACGATCTATGGTCTGGATAACCGGCCGCAATCTCTTTGTCGGTGATGGAGGATGAATGGGGTCCGAAGCAAGTTCGGTTGCGGGGGATCCGACCAGAGCTTGCGTGATTGACTTTGCAACCAACCGCGGCTTTGGTAGATGGCTCGTCGTTGAGGGCAATGGAACAGGCACCTGTGGTTTGCTCGAATCTCCGTTTTCCTCTATGGCAGGCGTGGTAAAGTCAAATGTTTTGTTAACCGACCGTACCATCTTAGGGTACTTGTCGAGAACATCATTAATGTTTTCTTTGGTCAGGACTCCCTTTTGGTAGTGAGGTCTTGAAACCTGGTCATTGTACAACTCTATGGCAGCCCGGACTGGGACTTTGCCCTCGGCCTCGCGTATGTACTGCAGGTAATCGTCGCTATAGTAGCGGACAAAGTCGTCGTAGAGAAACTCCATGATGGCACTTTGCTTTCGAAGATCATGGACACATAGAACTGCCCTTACAAAATCACTGAGACTTGCCTTGTAATCTGGATATGCTACTTTGTAGGCAGTGTAGGGAACTTGGGATGGCGGCCCATTCGGCGGGATCTTCTCGTCAGAGCTTGCCAGATGTTGAGCCGACTGTTCCGTTGTCTTCAGTAAATGACTACTACCATCGGCTGACCGTTCCTCAGGCTGATGCGGGGAGTCGGCGATATGCTCGACCAACCTGGTAATGGAAGGGCCTTCTGTTTCAGCCCGTGTGAAGGCAGCCGAGGAACGTTCAGGCTCAGCAGTCGACCTGTAATCGCTGTATATAGTGGTGATTGATTTCGTGAGCCGGCGACGCTTTTCCGGCGGTGGCCTGGACGGAGTGGTGTGACCAAGATAGCTAGCAGGGATGATCTGTGCGGATGGAGGAGTGTGCTCGGGATGAACAGGCAAGGCTCCTTTGTTGACCGGAGGGAGAACGTCGGTGACAGCCTTGGGGACTTGGAATTCTAATCCGCCCTCGGACGCAACGCTACTGCTGGGAAGGAACTCTGGCGCAAAGGGAACGCGAGCCTTGACCTTGAACACTGGTGGGGACGATGGACGGTGCTCGGGGCGTTTCTGAGACGAAGGTCGTTCCGGTAGCGCTCGACTGGGAAGGTCTGGAGTTACTATGGCCTGTTGAGGAGGGGTCGAGTTGTTTTCTGGCGGTGGTTGTAATTTTGGTGACGTATCCTTTGCTTCGCCATCGTTAACAGGTCGGATGTGATGCTCCGGAGATGGCGACCAAGGGATGGGTGTTCCTTCTTCTGAGCCCGTGCCAGTTGGTTTCGGTGTTGATGGTTCGTCCTGGTCCCCATCTTGTCTGATGAACTCGGTAGACCGTGGCAGCGGCGGGGAGGGTGTTTTGCGTGCGTATGTAGATGCGATACTGCGGATGTACTGCGTCTTCACCTCTTGCAGGATTTCTGCTGGCACATTGGCAAAACCATCCGAGTCCCATGCATCTTCGCGGTCGAGTAATTCTTGCTGGTCACAGCGAACTCGAAGAATTCGGCGCGGTATTTTCTGCTTGGAGGCCAGCAAATCAGGTGACCAGGTAGCAATATTGAGGATCGGCGCGGACATATCGTAGCAATAATTTTGGTGTTGTTGTACGAGTTCGGGGACGGGGTCGCAGAAGCCGCCAGAAAGCAATTACATAAAGCCCTTCTTCCTGTTTTTCTTTAAAGAGAATATCGCTTCCTTTTGAGGCTGAGCCAGATCTATCGCAGGTCGCGAAGCCTCCTTCGAGGATGATGAGGCTGGACAAGAGAACTGGTTGAAGGAAGTTGTTGAAGTTCAGTCGTGTCGTCGCAATCGAAAAGCGCGTCCAGTCTCCACATCGCCAACTCACGTGGTCGGGTGGCCCAAGGTCGACATGGGTCACCACCAAAAAAGCATCAACTCTGAGCTGCGGCTTTGAAGGGAATACTTTGTACGTTGTGGATTATCTGAATATGTACATCATGAACCATCATCAGTTACAAGAACATGTGAAAATACATTGGAGAGGTCCAGGTTCTACAAGATGGAGTACTGTATCGAGAATTGATGTTGCGCCTACAAACAAAAGGCTCGTTTAGCCCGCAGATCTGCTCAGCCGCAGCAATTATCTTGTAGCAAAGATGAAGCCTTAGCGCCCCGCCAGTGGCCCCACCAGCTGTCACCTCAGGAGAGGCCCACCCCCGGAATTGCGTGCATCTGCAGTGCAGGGGACGCTAACCTTTAGCTACAGAAATCCCCCAAATTACGTCACGCTTCGCAGCTCCTACCGTAACATTGATCTACAGGTCCCAAGACACCGTCCGTCCTTTCCGCATCCTCCCTTTTTCGCTAATCCATTCCAGGTTTCCCTTCCGTGACAGCATCACTACTAATCTTGATCAAGCTTATCGTATTATCACCTTGCTGTCACAGTCGGTTATTTGGTTGACATGCCACAGTCTCTTTGAACTCGAACCATCTCGGATCCATCAACAGACTTTCCTCAAAGTCATCACTGCAACCATGGATATCACCCCAATGGTGGCATCCGCCGGGCTGCTCCAAACCAGCTTGATCTGGGTTGCCTACGCCGTCGCCGTCGCTCTCGTCTTCTTCGTCGCCGTCATCACCGTCTTCACCTGGCAGACCCCCTACGATCGCTCCAAGCTGGTCACGACCGTCGCCATTGTCAGTCTCACAGCTCTTCTAGCTACAGTCTTTCTCCTTCCCGTCGATATCGCCCTCGTCTCCTCCACCGCGTCCGCATCGAGGGGCACCAAGAAAGACTGGGCAACACCCGAACGCATCCACGGCATCCTCAAGACGCTCAAGATTGTCTACTACTCCCTGTACAGCTTCGATGCGCTTCTCTGCCTGGTCGTTATCCCGTTCGCATACTTCTGGTACGAAGAGCATGACGAGGTCTTGGAGGAGGAGGGAAGAGAGACTTGGAGCACCCGCTTCTGGCAAGCCTTGAAATATACCATTGCCTTCATCATTCTCGTCATCATCCTGTTCCTCGTAGGCTTCTTCGTCCCTACTGCAGCCCAAGACCATGGCCGACATCTCGATCTCGACTACTTCAGGCGTCTCTTGACCAACAACAATGGTGAAAAGGCTCTCAGCTTTGGCCTTGGATTGCTCATGACACTGGGAGTCCTTCTTTACGTGCTCTACACCGGAACCGGTCTCGCCCTCCTTCCAGTCTCCCTTATCAAGAGTGCCCCGGCCATTTCGGCCCCTGAACTCTCCGCCATGACTGCTGCCGAGCTCGAGCACAACCGCGAGCTCCAGCGTCAGATCGAGATGCGCAACGCTGGTCGCATCGTCGCCATGTCTCAGAAGGACAGGCGCGAGCTCGACCTTTTACTCCGTGAGGAACGCACTCTTGTACGCCGCCAACGTCTAGCAGCCGAAGCAAGCGGCGAGGGACAATCCACCATCATGCGCATCTGGACCAAGACCCAGGCTGTTTTCCGTCCGCTCAAGCTCTTTGGCGGTATCCTCCTGCTTTGCCTCTCGGTCATCCTCTGGATATCGATGCTCATCACCGCCATCGACAAGGCCGCCAACTCCGTCTGCAAATCTCACTGTGGCTACATTCTCGGGCATATCAACGTATTCCAGCCCGTCAACTGGGTCTTTGTCAAGGCCGCCAAGGCGTTCCCTATTGATTACATTCTCATGGCTTTCCTGATCCTTTTCCTCTTTAGCAGCTCCATTACCGGCATTGCTTCCGTGGGCATCCGTTTCCTTTGGGTCAGGATCTTCCAACTCAAGAAGGGCCGTACCGCTCCCCAAGCCCTGCTCATCGCAACTGTCATGCAGGCCCTCATCATTCTAGCCATCAACTACGCCGTTGTCAACCTCCTCGCCCCTCAATACGCCATGTACGGCACGCAGACTTTTTGTCAAGCTCTTTCTCTGGATCCCGGTGCTCCGCCAGACTGCAGAAACCATAGAGACATGATTCGCCCATGCTCCGAGTCTCTTACCGACCCATTGGCCAAGGACGTATGCACACCCACCGTCATGTCCACCTTCTTGAACCGTATCGTGCTCAACTGGCCCGTGTTTGGCGCCATCGACTTTTGGGCCCAGTTTGCCTTCTTGACTGTGTTCTTGTTGGTGTTCGTCACCAGCTTGATCAGGACTCCCAGATTGAATCTTACTGAGATTGACGAGGAGGCACAGGCGGACGAAGAGGAGGGATTGCTGGCGAGCACGTCCAGGAGGTTCGGCGCTACTTGGCAGGACATCACGGGCAGAGCCAAGAGAACTGTTGGTGGACACCCCAATGGCCAAGGATATGGAACTAGTGGGACAAACGGAACGACTAGTTCTCGTTAATGAGAAGACTGTGTTGGTGATGGATTGTGGTGGCTCTCTACCTTGATACCCCAGATTGTTGTAAGTGGTAGAGAGGAAAAGTTGGGGATAAGTGTAATTTTGTGTTCAAGCTTTCAAGCTTGTGAGGTTAAGTCAAGGGATCGGAAGGGATGGAGTTATAAGCATGGGCATGACTGTTTCTGTATCTTGTCTTTCATCTTGCCATTGCTTTTGTTCAGGTTTCCCCTATCCCCTATGGTACCAAATCGTTATTATCAAGGCAAAGAAATTCTAAGCGCAACATAAGTACTCTGATGGCGATAAATTGATCATTATTTGTGTGTACTTTTGTTTTCTAAAATATGGTACCTCGACCGTGGCATACACCTAGACGATCAAGAATCCTGGTTTTTCGCACAAACAAATACATCTATCTGGCTTGCTTGTTCAAGATTCATCATCTTTCTCATGCACTTCTCATCGCCACCTCTCTCGCGCTCGTCTGAATAGATCGAACACGTCACATAACACCCTGGATATACTATTTCGAGCATCCATGTGTCTTTCTATGAGCCCTCCGCTTCTATACACGTCCTTATCGCTATCCCATAGTTTCAGAACAACAAATAAAAAAAAGAAAAGAAAAACCCTGCGGCGCATCCAATCCACCCCACCCCAACCTTTCCAGTCTCCTTCACCCCATCCGTCACCTTCACCATCGCCAATCCACTAGAGATACCAATTCTACTACCAATACCACTACCACCACCCACCCACCCCCAAAGCTTCCTACTCCCTTCCGCCTACATTCATCCTCCTCCTCCTCCTCCTCCTCCTCCACTCAACCCAAACACCACATAAGAGTCATGAGCCCGTTACTTCTCCGTTGTACCACCCACTCTAAACCACCGATGTCCCCTCTCCTCCCACCCCGCCGCCGGCCCAACATGCATCTCCCTCCAACACCGCACACAGTACCCATCATACTCACACCCTTCACATCGAATCGTAGCATCCTCCAAACAAACCTTACACCACCTCCTCGCATCCTCGTCGGTATAGCTCTCGTCTCTGCCTACCCATCCTCTTTTGGTACTTTTGGTCTGGTACTTTGCAGAAGCAGGCGGGGGAGGAGGCAAGAGAAAAGAAGAATCATCGGCGGGTAGAATTAAAGTGGTGGTGGGCACGGAGGGAAGGCCGAAGGCGTCGGTTTTGATGGGGGTTGAGCGCAGGTGGGAGAGGCGGGCGGTGAGGGAGGGGATGTCGTCGTCTACTGCACCTACTTGTTTGCCGCCGGAGGAGGCAGGGGAGAGGGTGGTGGAGGAGGGGACGGTGGGGAGGGTGAGGGAGGGGTTCCTCTCGGGGGAGGTGGTGAATGTGGGCGTGCGGGTTCCGGAAGGAGGGGAGGGGAGGGAGAAGGGGTCGTCGTCGGTAGGGCGGCCGCTCAGGTTGATTTCATCCTGGACTTGGTTGAGGATCCTGTTGGTTTCTTTGGTCATTGCTTCGCCGTCCGAGTCATCGTCGTCGCTACTGTCATCGTTGTTGTGGTCATCTGCAAAAGAATTGTTGTTTGGCTTGGGAGCCAGTTCCGATAGAAGTTTCTGGACTTTGTGCTCGTCGTTTTCGATTATGCCATCATCATCATTGTCGTAGTTGTTGGGGTTAGCAATAGCATGGATATCAATGTCTTCCTCATCCTCCTCCTCGGCAGGAACATCTTCTTGCAGGTTTAGGTCATCTTGTAGACCTTCCAGAAGCTCATCCAGAGCTTGATCGTCTACTTCTTCTAGACCCCAAGCTGAGAATAGTAGCTGCGTTTGTATCTGGGTCTTTGTATCCTCATCCTGAGATGATTCTTGATTGATGTTTCGTGAAACTGGCGTTTGTCCTCTTTTGAGAAGAGGCTGGGAACTATCGTGGCCTTTCATTCGTGTATCTGGTTCCGGCTTTGACGAGGCGGTATGAGCCTGACCGCTTCCCGGAGAAGCTGACGACGGCACGGATGTTGAAGATGCATTACGAAGCACCCGCAACCTCTCGGTCAGAGCATCGTCTTTTGAAACCGACGGTGCAGAGCCAATGGTCAAAGAAGGCTTCACCGGTGCAGTGTCATTGGTAGTGGTAGAAGCGGGGCTACAAGTCACTCAGCGTTTCAGTATGGTGAATTCTCAGAGGAAGATTCATGTTGGTCAGGCTTTACTTGAGTGGGCCAAGCTTGCTGCTAGAATCAAGTGTGACACTGGTGGACTTGAGGGCGTTGAGTCTGTCCAGAAGTGACTGATCTAAGGAGTCATTGGCCGGGCGATCTGAAGCCATGCCTGCAACAGATCGGGTAGAGTCAGGGGAAGTGCGGCTGAACAGGCGGATTGGGTTTTTAAGGCTGGGTGTGATTGAATATTGATGTGATGGTCACGGTCTCCCAGCAGTTGAACTGATTCACCGGTTGGAGGTTGTAATCTCGCGATGCGATAAGGCGTGTCTGGGTTCAGCTCAGGCACGTCTGCAGGAGCCTTTCTGCAGGGGCGTCGGGGCCGGGCCGTCCAAGCCAAAGGGGACAATTGAGCGATTGGGAAGGTCAAGAGGACAGATGTGTTCGAAAAATGGATCGTTGTTCCGTCGAAATCCAATCGGGGAAAAAATAGCGGTCCGAGTCAACTGTGTCAAGTCCGGATGCTTTGGCGGGAGGTCAAGAGGCATGCGGTCGTGAAACCGGGGCGAGACTTTGGGCTGCCGGGGCAAAAGTGGGGCCACCCCGGGGATCGGAATTGGGAATGGCCATGTTGCCATCCATTGCATATGTGTACAAGTTGGGCAGATTTCAAGGCGGATTCGGATATGTATGTACACTAGACCTCGCGTTGATTCGAGGCTGAATGGCAATTTGAGGCATACAAAAGTCCTATCATAGATACGAGACGACTGTTACCGTTTCGCTGGTGATGCCGACCAATCACTAACAGCTGCCGACTTGGTCACTTTCAACCATGTAGATACATAGCAACCAGCCCCAATAACATTGGCCGGGCTCCTGATGGGGATGCAGATGAAGCTACTCCAAACGGTCTTACGTGACTCTGGTGTGCGGCATGCCCAGTGATTGGTAAAGATTGCTGCCCAAGACCAGTGAAAAGGTGACAATGGCACGTTCTCTCTGCAGGGGAAGTGGCCATCTGATATGGCCACCGAGCAGACACGTGCAACTGCACTGCACTGCCTCGCAAGCCAAAAGCTTAACCCGTCGTCTGTCAGCCGACAGCATCACCGACAACGTCCCCGGCACCGGACAACTATCCGAGCATATCCATCTAAATCATCAGAGTGTGGGGTGCGGTATGCAAATTCAAGTCACAAAGTGAATGGTCGATATGGCTCCTGGAAGATTAGTTATGGGTCATGGCTGTGTCTGGGATGGGATGTCGTTGGCGATTTAGGGTCTCTTGCACCATAGGTCAATTTCACTCAAGTGACGATCCTGACGATCCAGGGCACCGCGGATTCATGCCACAATAATAAGGCGCTCCAATAAAAAGTAGCTTCTCTATCGGCAGTTGCCGAGTTGCGACTGGTTGGTGGACAATGACTTCATCTGCTGCGCTGCCGGAGCATCCAGCGTAAACTTTGCCCCGGTCTCGTAGGACGGGTGAGGTCACTGAGGTCACCCAGCCAGAAGGCATTTTACCTAATTTGGCCACTCACTGCCCAGTTTCGCGCTCTCAATCGCGAGGTGTCGGGCTTACACCAAAGAGCCAACCATATTACACAAATCTGCCATTCAGTCAGGCTGATGAAAGGCGTCTTTGTCATGTGAGCGGTCGATGCTATGAGCAAGTTAGGTGGCTACTTACTATGCACAGAGCCAACTTTGCTGGCTTTGAAGCGAGTGATGGCCGGGGGGCACGTGCCCTCTTCCCGTCGTCTTTCATAACCAACTGCCTGCCATGTTAAGTGAGGAATGGAAGGGCGGGCATACAGACGGCGCAGATGGCGGCTGAAGGTGGATTTTTTCAGGGAGCAGCGGCCGCAGCACAGGGTACTACTAGATCATTGGTGTTAGTGACTACCTTTAATGGGTGAGGCAATCGGCTACGCTTTAAGGTACTGTCTATCTGCCCCTAACGCAGTGGCTTAGCGGCGACGGAGAACGGATCCCCCCCGTCATGTCATCTCCTTCCATCTTTCAACTAAGTAACGCAAGGTAAGTTTAGCACCATCAAGTTTCCCTTCCCTTCTTGGCGTGACGAAAGTTGGTGCAAGGAAACCTGGCTGCGCCATGGCTTTCCAGCCTTTGGTTTTTTTGGGGAGCGGTCAGCTTTTTGCGGCGACCAAGATCTTTTAGGTTCCCTTTTCCTTACATCAGCCCGCATTTCCCGGACCCTTCATTCGCCCCTGTTGGTTGCATCCATACTGTAGTCATACATTCGGCATTTATATACTACTTTTCCATCCCAGTCCCGGCTCCTTGGCTCTGTTTCGCCTCTTGGCCTGTGACCGGGCAGGTCTTAAATCTTTTGCTTCCCCGGATCCTACTCATCTCCGCTTTCTCCACGACCACCTTATATCTTATCAACACCCTAATCTTCCGAAACACATCATACCAACCACAACACAGCATATCATATCATGAAGATCGATCTCGCCATCCTTGTCTCGGCCCTTTGTGCCAATCCGGCACTTGCCCTCGTCGCACCAACATCCGACCTTGCGCGACGTGAACCCGCCGAGCCCATCCAGATCGTCAACCGTGACGTTGACGCTACTTCGCAGGAACTTTGGAAGCGCAGAGGTGGAGGAGGTGGCGGCGGTCGCGGTGGTGGTGGTGGTGGTGGTGGTTCCGGCGGCGGTAACAGTGGAGGAAGTGGCGGCGGACGCGGCGGCAGCAGTGGAGGAGGTTCAACCGGAGGAAGCTCATCCGGCTCAGGGTAAGTCAACACTCTTCACCTCACCGACTTTTTTTGCTTTTGCTCTCGATTTTCACCGTCGGTTGTTGCAATTTGTGTGGGAGAGTGTAGGCATTGCGTTCGTCATGCAGGGCGACGCTAATGTTTGTTTGTCTACAGGAGAGGCGGCAGTGGAAGCAGCGGAAACAGTGGTTCTGGTTCATCGTATGTGTTTCCATTTTCAATTCGTGTTCTCTAACTCCCATGATTGTGAAAAGGCGGTCATCGGGAGTCTCTCAACCTGCGAGCTCGTCCTACAAAGGTTCTTCGGGAAGCTCGTCCTACAAAGGTTCTTCTTCGGGAAGCTCATCCTACAAAGGTTCTTCTTCGGGAAGCTCTTCCCAAAAAGACCTTTGGTACTACGGGGGCGCCTCCTCTCGTGGGAAACCCAACAACAAACCGAAGCAGAGATCCTCGTATGCATCAGCAGCAAAGTCATCTTTGGGAGACTTCCTGCTAGATCTCGCAGGCTCTCCAACCCTTTCCAGTCTTTTATTTAACCGTTCAGTGAACCTTGCATCTTACTAACATGAAGTCTTTCCAACAGAGGCCCCAAGACATCGCCAACTTACAATGGTGGTGGAGCAACCAAATATGGAAGCGGGCCAAAGCCTGCCTACGGTGGTGGCCGCTATTACGGAGGTGGCGCGGTGCAACCATACCAGTCCGGTATGAGGTCGCCATCCGGCATCCGCCCCTTCGCTCTCGGTGCTGGTATAGGACTTCTCGCCGTCTGGCCCGCCGTTTGGCTTTATGGTGCTTACATGTACCCCTACCACAACTTGTACACCTACCACAACCAGACCTCCGACCAGGACGAGACCCGCAACGTCACCTGCGCCTGCGACCCATATAACGTCTGCGGTTGCGACGACAATACCAATACCACCTATATTGACGACCTTATTGGGAACGGAAGCTACTCTTCGTTGAACCATTCCTTGATTACCGTCGCCACTGTTGACGGAACCGACTACCTCCTGATCAACGGTACCTTGCCCAATGGTACGACTGCGTCCGGCGGTACGGATGATGATGATGGTACGACTACGTCCGGCGGTACGAATGGTGGTGAGAGCAGCGCTGCTGGTCTCCGGAGGTTGCTAGAGCACGCCGGATGGTGGCCGGTCGTGGCCACTGTTGCGGCAACCGTATTCGCAGTCTAAAAGCAGTTTCCCCAAGAAACCTATGGGTCTGATGACGAGTTCTGAGCAACATGAGATATCCCTCTATACTCGGGGTATCAGCAGTCTTTCGATTATCCTACAACACAGTTCTTGATACTATTCACGAAATGAAAGCTGGTAAGGACGAGGAGTGGCTATAATGCCAACTAAGGGCGAAAAAAAAAAGGAAGAAGAAAATCACATGAATACGAGGTTGATGATGGACCCGATACCCCTAGGTTTTAATGATTTATTGACAGGATCCTGTTTTGGTTTTGTATACCACCGTACATAGATGATTTCAAGATTCCACGATCTGGTTCATGAATAACAAAATCGGTTAATTGACTAGTCTACTAGCCAAGCTCCAGTTAACCCACAGAAAAAAAAAAACTGGAGGGAAGTTTATCCGAACAGCCCGTAAGCAGACATTAGAAGTCGTGACCCTACAACGCATCCCCCCCCACAATGCATCGCGTCCCACATCGCGTTTCCCCAACAACAATAACAATACCCTCAATTTACGAACCCCTATAACTTTATTAAATTAAGTCCGATTATATTTGAAACGGTCGTAATAGCTTTAATAAAGGACCGACTAATTGATTAGTGTAATTCCAAAATCTCAATCCAATAGCTATCTCTAATATAAAAGGAATTTATCTATAAATGGATATTAAATAAGGAGAAGGTTGGCCGAACTCCTAATTGTTATTAGGTAATTAGGTTTATAATATCGATATTAAAAAGAGGAGGTAATAATAAATAATTGGGCGCCTAATAAATAGACCGGTTTATTAAAAGGTATCCTTCTATTAAGATTAAACTTTTAAACCTACTCGAATTAATTAGAGTAAGGGGGTCTATTAAGGAAGCCTTTATTACCTTCTTCGATCTTATAGAAGCCTAGATTTATAATAAAGCTATTATCCTAGTTAATATTACTAATATAGACGAATACGGACTTTAAAAGTTGGAATTAAGGAATAGGAAGGTCTTTAGGACCGTTCTATTAAAGAAGGTATACTTAATAATAACCGATATAACTACTTAAGTAATTATTATTGAATTTAGTATAGCTAAGGGTAAGCGGTTGATTCCCGTCGTCGTTTTTACTAGTATAAACCTTTAAGGTTAATAGTTCTCTAATAATATAGATAATAAGTTTAAAAGTTGGAAGTATAATAGTACCCTAAGTGGATAGAGTAATTTATAGATTGTTCTACGTTGGTTGAAGGAGGTTTATTTATTAGAAACGAAGTTAGTTAATAATAGTTGGCGTTTTTTAATCCTTAATGAGTATATTAGTTATTTAATTAACGATTTCCTTTTTAAAGCTTTTTAATATAATATTTAATTACTCTTTTTACTTCCCTATATTTTTTATAAAATTCAATTATTCGATCGATCTGTATTTGCAGCTGTTAAGTTATATTTTAGAGATTTAACTAGAGATTTTGCCTCCTTCTTAGTATTTGTACCGGTAAATAGATAACGGTTTTTCTAATATTATTAGGAAGTATTAAGAAGGGGGGTGAGCTCTAGAAACCTTAGATCTAGGTTTAAAAAGACTGGGATATAGCTAATAAATAGATCTATTATTATTAATAACTCCGAGGCTATATTTAATAACGATGCTTTACTAGTTTAGTTATTACTATTTAAAATGTTACTTAAGGACGAAATATCTAAAGTTAATTATATTTTTAAGATTCCCTAGAAGTCTAGAGATATATTGGGTAGTATTTATAGTAAGTTAATTGCTATTAATTGTAATATTAGAATAGTTTACACTAAGGCAGCTAAGGCTTTCAATGTAATAGAGTAACACGGGTATCTTCAAATATCACAATGCTAGTACATACTATAATATTAAAGAAGAAGATAATGGAGGAAGAAAGGCGTAGCCGGAGGCTGCCCTGCGCGGGAATCCCTTTATAGGAATTCCCTTATCTTATCGCTAACCTGCAAGTCTAGCGACCGGGCAAGTTAGGTACGTATTAAAGTATGTGCCAAGGTACGCTATTACCTCTATCGGGGGTAAGTATAATTGTAAATTATATTTAATCTACTCTAATTAATTAATTCTAATATATATAATACATAGGATTTAATAATTCCGTATTAAATCCCGGCGCTATAAAGAGAATACTATTGTCCTTAATAGGAATAGCTTTACTTTTATTGTAGAGAATGCTTTCTTAGGGTATTAATAGCATCCACTCGATCCTTTTTATTTATAAAGCGGACTTTATACTATTTATCTATATAGGAATATAGGGTTTCCGGCTTACATTTATTTATACAATATTCCTAATAGTTTTTTACTAAATCCTTCGCATTTTCTAAATCTTTGGTATTTAGTTAATTCTTATTGTAATACCTATATCCTTTCTATTTAGCGTAGTATTAGAATTTACTATTAACCTATTTATATATAGCAATTTTATTAAATTTGTATTAGGGGTGCTTAGGGTCCGAATTGTTTTAGGAGTTTTTAATTAATTTTAATAGGGGAGTAGATTAACCGAAGGGGTCGGTATCGTTCGGGGTAGGTATTAAATAAGCGATTAAAATAATTAGGTAAATTTTTATTTTCGGGGGGAGGTTTAATTTGTATATTAATCGTCCGACCTTCTAAATAATTTTAAATAGGCCGGTACGTTATTATAATATTTTTTAAGAAGGGCGACCCGGGAGATAGTAATTATAGTTAAATTTGAGGAATATTTTATTTTTAATATTAAGATTAATTTGTTTATAGGCGGCGTTGTAGTGGATTTTAGCGTCGGTAATAGCGAAGTCTATAATTAGGTGCGCTTCCTATCGAATATAATCCCTAACGGCGGGATTATTTTGAAGAATATAGTTATTAGTATTTATAAATATATTTAGTAGTCCGATTAATTTATAATTAAATAAGTATTTGTAGGATAATATTTTAATATTTTTAATAAATGCGTTATTTAAATTCTATTGTAATAAGGGAATAATTAAAAATTAATTATATCCGAATTCGTAGTAGAAAGTATAGAATTGGATAGTTATTTTAATAATTTAGTTCTTTCTTTCTATTATACTATTACTAACTACGTAATAAGTAATTATTATAAGTAATTTAGTACTTATAGCCTTCTATATACCTTTTTAATATATAGATATGAACTTCCTATTTTAATTGGAAATAATTCTAATAGAAAATCCCTAATTATAGAGAAGGAGTATTTAAATTATAATAATTCTTTATTTTATAGTTATATAAGTAGAGTAATTTAGGATTATTAATAATCTTTTCGAAGTTTTATTAGTAATTAGTAATAAAGAATCGAAGGTATTATAATTAGCTATTTACTATAGGGTATTTTTAAATGATATTTCTAATAAGTTAATAATAAAATTAATTAATATAATTCTTATTAGTAAGGTTTTATCTGGGCGGATAAATTAGTAATTACTAATCGGAGGGTTATAGTCTATTTAATTAAGTTAGTAAATTAAATAGTATTTAATATATTATCTAACTAAGCGAATCTTATTTAGGAAGGATATTCCTTTTAATTCGTATATTATATAGTTACGGTTAAAGTAATATTTATTATTATAGACGGTTTTTAAGATATTCTTAATGAATTTATAGGGTATATAAAGACTATTAATGTATCCTTTAAATATTTTTATTTGCTAGTTATAGATGAGTCCGTCTCTTATAAAGAAAGGGTAGCCGGGCTTAGAAAAAACGATATTTCTATTTTTAGAGACCTTTTTATACTATTGGAAATATTCTATTACTTTAGTAAACTTCTTATTAAATAAGTAGGTTATTATATATACCTTACGGAATTTAGGGTTTATTTAAACTTTAGAGAAGGTATATTAAACGCCCTTAAGGGTATTAATAAATAGCGTTTTATTTTCCTAAATTTCGTTTAATATAAAAGGGCTATTGGGATTACTGGCTTTATTACTTATAGTTTTTAAATAATTTAATGCATTTAGAACGAAGTTGAATTTATTAGGAATATAGAAGACTTTTAGCTAATACCCGAATAAATAAATAGAGGTATTAATTAGCCGTCGGTTTGTATAGTTTATTAAAGTTATATAGAGGGAAATTTATTCTATAATCCCTTTTGTAGTTAAATAATTTATAAAAATTATTACTAGTAGAGAGTAAAAATATAATTAAGTATATAGTTTTTTAACCGCCTATATTAGGTATATAACTTTGAGTTTGGAAGGTTTATATTTAATTTCTACTTTAGTTAATACTTTATTTAAGAATATAATAGGTAAGATTTAGGATAATAGGATTTGGGAATTGCCGGTTTAAATATATTCCAGTTTAAAATAGAATATTATAACTCCGAAACTTCGTTCGAAAGACCTATTAATTTATGAAAATATTTAAATATTAGGATTTAAATATTAAAGGATTATTAGTTCGTTATATATAGCTTTTTAAATAGTTTTAAATATTTATTTTTCCGGATCTATAGGTTTAAAAAAGGTCCTAATACAATAGGCGGTACGTTGGGCGGGTTTGCCGTTCTCGATTTTATTAATCTTTTATCCTTCTATTAATAATAAGACTTTTTTAAATTGAAGGGGGTTAATTAATTAGGCGTAGTATAGAATTAAATATTAGAGAAATCCCGTACTTCTAATATATTATTTTAATACTTTTAAATTATTAGGAAAGATTAAGATTTTAAATGCCTCTATCCGCTCTTTAATTGTTAATAATCCGAAATTATTAATGTGAAATCCTAATAATCCGATGTTAGAGTAATTTAAATAAAATTTTTTAAGCGAAAGTATAATATTCTTAGAGAGAAAGAGGGAAAAGATTGTATTTAAATACTTTAGATAATTATTTATAGAATTGGAGGTAATTATTATATTATTAATATATACCTAATAATAGTCTTTATATTCCTTTAAGAGCGTATTTATAAAGCGTTAGATATAAGTTAGAGTATTCATAAAGTTTATTTATACGACGGTTGGTTATTCGAGACTTTAGTAGGTAATTAGGGTAAATTAGTCCTAATACTTCTACTATACTCTAAATTAATAAAAGAAGGAGATAATATTAATAATAGTAATAATTACCTTTCTATATATAAATATAATAATCTCTCTTTAAAATAGTAGGGGGTAATTATTTAGGATAATTAGACTATTAAAGATTTATAAATTAATAATTAGGTAACCTTTTAAGTTATTCTTTATTTTTCGTTAAATAATAAAGATTAGATAGGTAAATAGGGTAGTGTATTTAACCTAATCTATTTTTCTTTAGCGGTATGGAGTATTAAAAATTTTATTAATTATAACTTAGTCCTTTTTACTAATTAAGTATATCTTTATAGCGATTTTATAATTTTATTAACTATTTATTAATAGGACTTTTATTATTTCGTTATTGAATATATTTATTAACTTACCCTCCTTTTAAAATTTTAGGAAGCAATTAATAAATTATTTTAAGGCCGCTATTACCTGATTATTATTAGCGTAAATATATATTCCCTCCTCTATAGTAATTTCGGGCGCCTTCTTATTTATTCGAATACTGAAAGTAAAATACTTCTCTAGTATTTTAGGATAGGGGTTGGATATTTTAGAAGGTTTGTCTTTTGGTTTAGTAGGTTAGGTATTGGGATTTACGGGCGGGATAATTACTATATTAATTAGTATTGTAACGTTAAAGTCGAAATTGATATTAGTTAGTATATAATAAGTCTAGTAGGTTATTTTAATTGCCTATTTAATAGGGAGGTTACTATCCTTTATAATACTAAGTACCTACGTAATTATAATAGTATTGTAAACATCGGTTTAAATTATAGTAAGGAATCCGTCGGCGTTATATTTTATAATTTTTCCAACCTTCTATTTACGAGGAATAGTTAATATTTTGTTACTTATATTTTTTATTAAAGTAACTATAGGGGAATAAGCGTTAATAACTGTATTAACGATTACGGAGTAAGAAGAATTGAAAAGAAAGTTTTTATCCTTTGGGAGGGTAGTATAATAGATTGGTACTATACGCTCCTTTCCTAATTGTAGGATTATTTTTTTTATTATAATTACTTTCTTAATATAGCGATTTGGTAATTTAAGGACCTTAAATACTATACTAAAGTCGTTTTATAGAAAGCGAATTTCTAAAGTATAATAATTAATATTTATTTATTATAAATAGAAGAAAGAATTTACTAATAAAAAGTTGGGTTTGAATTTATTAATTACTTAGCCGGTTATTATAATTTTTAAGAGGGTAGGGCTTCCTTTAATATTTATATTAGGTTAATAGAAAATAAATATAACCTATTCTATTAATTTTATTAGTTTCCCTCCTACTCCTTTAATTCTAGTAGAAAATTTAATGGATATTATATATTTAAGAGTATTAAAAAATATGCGATTAATAATGGTTTTACTTACGTTAGGGTCTATATATATTTCTACTAGGTTAATTTTAGGGGAGGTTTGGGTTAGAATATATAAATAAGTAAACTTTGAAAGGGGCTTTTTTTTAGAATATTTATTTATTTAAGGAGTGGCGGTTTAGATAGGTAATATAATAATAAAGTAAATTATATTTAAGTTTGTATCCTTAGTAGTTGAGAAGTCTTTTATATAGAAGTTGGTGTAATCGAAGATTTAGTTCCGCGAAGGGAAGTCCTATCCGTATTTTCGGTATTTATAAAAATTGGTATTAGAGATTGTAGATAGGACTTTATTAGCGTTAGTATTATTAATAGTTTAATAATTATTTATATATTATAATTTTAAAATTATTAAATCGAACTCTTTTAGGCACTTAGAATAAATTAATTAGTTATTATATATATAGTAAATTGAAGTATTCGAATTATATTCCTCCGAATTATTTATAAAATTAGTAGGATCTAATTCCGAAGTAGAATTATTATAGATATAGTTAGCGCGGATCCTACTAATATTGCAATTATAGTTATATCTGCTATTAAGTTCCGGGGTATAATCCTTAATACGGTTAATTTAATAATTTATTTTATTATAATTACGGTTTTTAGTATAATTACGGCTATCGCTACGATTGCGACTACAATTACGGTAATTGATTCGATTGTAGTTACAATTATTTCTTTAATTATAGTTGCGGTTGCGGTTACTATTATAATTGCGGTTGTAATAGTAATTATAATTATAATTGGGGGTTTACTTAGAATTCTTATTAATACGATCCAATTGGTTACTACGGGTAGAATACTTACTTTTGGCTATTGCGAATAAAATTACTTTAATTTTTTTAATATTTTCGAAATACTTTTTAATTTCTTTGAATAAGGGAGGGGCGTAGAGGATTATTTTAATATTAATATTTATATTATTCTAGATTTAGACTATAATACTATATTAATTATTACTATTTTTAGAGAAGATACCTATAGAATGGGCGAGACGAAGCTGTTTTAATATATATATAGATACGGTATTCTTATTTTTATAGATATTATAGAGAGTTAGCCTTCCTTTATTAAATTTTCCAATTGTAATAGTTGAGTTAGGGGTGAATTTAGCTACTAAGACTTTAATAAAGTTGTTGAATAACTTCTAGAAATATTATTATTTAGCGGGGTTTAATTAATTATATTATTATATATAGGTAATACCCTATAAAAAGGTCGGTTATATATAGATAAATTATTTTTTAATAGAACCGATATAATTGTTTTCTAAAAGAGTATTAAATTGGTTAGCGAATATAGTAGTATTAGTATAAATAATATTATTACTACTTTTAATTATATTTATATTCTTTAAGTTATTAATAAAGGGATTAAAAGTTTTAATATTATTACGTTTTATTTTAGGCTTATTGTTGGGGTTACTATATACCTAGCGGGTAATTAGAATATAATGGAGGTTATAAATATTAAAATATTTAAAAAGGAAATTTCGATTATTGCCCTTATTTTCTTTGTTATTAATATCGCTTCTATTACCGGAATTGCTGGGGGTAGCGGCGATAAGGTAATTATTTAAAATTAAAGGGGGAGTATTACTTTTAACCTTACTAGTAAGATAGTTTTTCTTTACGACGGGTATATAATTAATTTTATTAATTAATATAGGAATTTCAATAGGAAAAGTATCGGTTCTGCTAATATTGAAATGGAGCAAAAACCACACCAACACGAAAAGCACCCTGCCACACCTAAATGTAGTGAGGAGCAGATCTGGAGTTGGACATGGCTTTCGTCCTTAGGAACTGAGATAGAGTAGTAAAGTTACAATTTATTAACTACTACCAAAGACTAACGAGAAGGATAAGATTCTCCTTATTAGTCTTAGGTTGGCTAGATAGGTCTAGAAGTTAATTCTTTTATAGAAGGGTTATTAGGCTTACTATTACGAGGGCGTTCGACGGTAATTCTGTAGTGTAGGAGCGGGATTCTTTAGTCTATTTTCGAGGATAGGTGTTGTCTAGTCTAGTTTGGAGTGCCTCCCCTTCCTCTCTCCTCTTAGTCGGGATCTCCTCCTTATATCCCTTTTCTACTTATTACATTCCCAGGGTCCTGTCCGACCAGTGCAACAGATCTGCTCCTCAATAAACAATAAGCCAAGGCCCAAATACCTCTACCTATTATTTAAAAGCAAGAGTCCAGAGTAAAGAAAAGAAGAAAGCGTAGAGAAAAACAAGAAAACAAATGAACTACCCCACATCAATATCCTTTATAGTAGCGTACTTAATAGTAGCTTTATTAGCTTCGTTGCGGGTTAAGTCTAAAAAGGCTGTTACGTAAGTATTTCTCGCGTATAAATTACTGATTTATTATAAGTATTTGGTATATATCTCGGCCTATTTCTCTATTATATAGCGAAGACTATTATTATAATTGCGTAGACTATTAATTTATTCTATAAAGTTCTATTCGGTAAGCTCCTTATTTTTATTTATAGTTTTAGTAAAGTATAGGTTATAATACGCGTAAGTATACGGGCGGGTTAGTGGGCTACTATTATATATAATAGAGTTATAAAAGGTAGGGATATATTTATAAATTTTAAAATCCTTATATATATAAGGGAGAACTTTAATAAATTTAATACTTTCGCTATTTATAATTAGTTTAGTACGTTTAAGGATATTATTTTTACTAGTATAGTAATTGCTAAGCTCGTAAGTAGGGAGATAGATAGTAATAGTATTAGAATTTTCAAATTAGGTATTGGGAAAATGTCCCGGTATTTCGGTAATTCTACCTTTTCCTTTATCGAGTGGAGTAAGGTTGGTTTTACCGAAAATTAAGGAGGCAATAGCTTTTATAACTTTTTTATAATTAATTAAAATATTAGACTTAAATTTAGCTATAGTAGTAATAAATTTATTAATACGGTTGCTTTAAGCGCGGGTATTTCTAATATAGATTGTAAATTATCTATATATTTTAATTTTAAATTATTTTATATTGGTATTAACGTCCTTAATTATAGTATTTATATTATTAAAGCGCTTCTAAAGTTTTTTATTAATTATATAGTTAGGAATATTACTATAGGAGTTATTATTATTAGAATTATTCTCCCGGCTAATAGTTATAGTATTATAGTTATTTCGTTATGAGTTTTACTTCGGCGGCGATGTTTAATATAATATAAAATTCTCTAGGGGTTTAATTGCTAAAGATTATTGCGATTTACTAGGTAAGAAAGTGTTAATTATAATAGAAAGAACGTTATTAATAATATTAGACTTTAATTAATTTATAATAGTAGAAGGGCTAGTAGTATTCGATAATCTAAATTGGATTTGGGTAATATTACGAATTAGGGTAGAATTATTGCAGAATTAAAGTAAAATTAAGGATTAATTATTTAAACGGTTAATATTATATATTGAGGGTATGGATATTTTGTAAGGTAAGCGATGTAAGGCTATCTATTCCGGAGGGTCTTTATTAATTATAAAGTTTAAAATAAAGGTCGTTAAAAAGGGTAATATAAGTTCGCCTATTTATAATTATAATATTAAAGAGTAAAAAGATTAGGGTAATAGTGAGGAGAGTAAATAGGAGGCCGATTTTTATTAGTACTATTGTTATAACGAACGATTAATAAGATTAGTAGGAAAGAGAAAGTAATAGTTATCTTTCGATAAAATAATCGCGGGTTACCCTTCGTATTGAGATTTAAAATAGAAGTTCGGATTGGGGTAGTACGGGGGTTCTAATATATTCGTTCGATACGAGTCGATATAAGTAAAAGGTTATAGTGTGGGAAGTACGTAATACTATTTTTATAACGAATAATTGTAAATTTAGGGGAAGCGCCTAATACTATTTTTATAATAAGTAATTGAGAGTTTAAAAGTAATTACGGGGTTGGCGTTTTACAATAAACGATCTTACGATTAAATTAGTAAATTTATAATAACGGAGGTTAACGAATTTACTAGAAGATAGGTACGAGGAGTATACTATTTGCGATAGGTTATTATAATTATTTAATTGTAACTATTACTTAATAGGGTAATATAAGTGTTTTTAAATATTATAATACTAGTGTATATTATAATATTAAAGAAGAAGATAATAGAGGAAGAAAGGCGTAGCCGGAGGCTACCCTGCGTAGGAATCCCTTTATAGGAATTCCCTTATTTTATCGCTAGCCTATAGGTCTAACGATCGGGCAAGCTAGGTACGTACTAAGGTATATGCTAGGGCACGCTATTGCCTCCATTGGGGGTAGGTATAGCTGCAAGCTATGCCTAGTCTACTCTAGTTAATTAATTCTAGTGTATATAATGTATAGGATCCAGTAATCCCGTATTATAATAATAAGAACGCTAAGCTGGTTGTAAAAGACTACCAAATTTAGTATTTATAGACTCAATTAGACTTAATAAAACCTAAGGGTAAAAGGAAGGTTAATAAAGAAGGGGGTAATAATAGATTTGTACGTATAGAGGAGATTATTTAAGTTTGTAAAGCCTTAAAGTAAACCTCCAAGTATAGAAGGGTTACTACGGCAATAATAGCAACGAGACTACTATAAGAGTTAGGGAGAGCAGTTGAGTTAGTACTCTATACTATTCAAGAGTATTAAGAATAAGATTATGACATTTTAAAGTAGTAAAATCGCTGTAAAAGTGGCCAGTTTTCGATGTTATCTGGGTCCTGGTGATGAAATTACATGATGTATTGTGGGGGGGGATCCGTTGTGGGGTCACGATGTCTAGTCTCGGTGGCTGTGTGGCGACAACTTTTCAACGCTCGCGGCTTGTTAAGGTACAATCTACGCATGAGGCCAATCAGAAACCACCACGGCAGGCACCCGTCTGATCTCTGATGAAAAGGGTAAAGTGAAACAACAAACCTCATGAGGCATGTATCTTCCACAAGAACAGTAAAAACCCGTCTTCTTTCACAAAAGTCGCACCAAAACTCGGTTTCCATCAAATCAGAAGAACAAAGTAATCATGACGTCTCCCGAAGCTCCTGTGCCTGATGACCAACGTACACCCCCGCCACCAACTTTTGCCGGTCGTCTCAAGCTCGAAGACTTCAAGTTCGACGGTAATGGCTCAGCATCAGTATCGCCATCACCAGGCGGAATTCGCAGAAGCGCCCGTCTGTCCTCGACAACCAAAGCGACACCCGTAAACACAGATACATCCTCCTCTTCGGCATCTCCATCACGCAAAGCCACTCAAACCCAAACCACCACCACCACCATTACCACCACCTTGACAACAACAACAACAACAACAACCAAAGCCCGATCATCCAAACGAAAACTCATAACCCACACCTCTAGAACTACTTCTTCAACCTTCCCAACCCCATCCGACTCCGGATTTTCCACTCCCACCTCCAAACGCCCCAAACCCCTCCCCAAAAAGATCTACGACAACATCCCCCAAACCCTCCCCGACGCCCTCTCTCCCAATCTTCTTGTTCTATTCATCGGCCTCAACCCCGGCATCTCCACCGCCATCCAACAACACGCCTACGCGCACCCGACCAATCTTTTCTGGCGCCTCTTGTTTTCGTCCGGGATCACCCCCGTGTTATGTGCACCTTTTGAAGACCGCTCCCTGCCCGAGCGGTTTTCGCTGGGGTTGACCAACATCGTGGGGAGACCGACGCGAAATGGCGGGGAATTGACAAAGGGGGAGATGGACGAGGGGGTGGCAGTGTTGGAACAAAAAGTGAGGGTGTGGAAGCCCGAAGCTGTGTGTGTGGTGGGAAAGGGGATTTGGGAGAGTGTTTATCGGGTGAGGCAGAGGCAGAGGCAGAGGCAGAGGCATGGGAAAGCGGTGGGGTTGCTGCCGAAAGATTGGAAGTATGGGTGGCAGGATGAGAGTGAGAATATGGGTGTGGGTGGTGATAGTGGTGATGAGGAGGAGGAGACAAACACGACAACAGCTGGTGGGTGGAAGGGAGCGAGGGTGTTTGTGGCTACGAGTACTAGTGGGTTGGCGGCCACGGTTGGGAGGGCGGAGAAGGAGAGGATTTGGAGGGAGTTGGGGGAGTGGGTGGAGAGGAGGAGGGCAGAAAGGGAGAAAGAGAAGGGAGTGAAAGAGGAGGATGAGGATGAGGATCAAGGTCAGGGTGGTGTACTGGGTGAGTAATGTTCATGGTGTGAGGGGGTTTACGTTTGCATGTTTCTTAGCTGATTGGAAAGTCTCGTATAAAGTACTGGTTCAAGTATCGAACATTAAATGGAGGTATTTGAATTGAATAGAAATCAATGTCGCGCAAAACTTCGTCGCGCATTATTTAAGCGAAGAATGGTCTCATATACTCCCTCTGCCCCTGCATGTTCCCCGTGCTAGGCGAGCCTCACTCCGACTTCTCTTAACATGCCCATCATTTCACACATAGATCAATCCCACATTCCCTCTTACCAAGCACAATGCCCACCATCAATCCTCAGATCCGCGCCCGTCATGAAGCTGCTCGCATCACTGAGCAAGAAGATTGCCGCGCCGCGGTACTCCTCCGGGTAACTCAGCCTCTTGAGCATGTTGGCATCGGGCCAAGCGGTCCTGCGCTCGGGAAAGGCTTCAAAGAGGCCGGCCGTCATGGCGGTCACGATGTAGCCCGGCGAAAGCGTGTTGACGCGGATGCCATGCTCGCCCCATTCCGAGGCGAGGTTGCGGCCAAGCTGGAGGACGGCGGCTTTGGAGGCGTTGTAGGCGCTTTTTCGGGGGGATCAGTCGCTGGTTAAAACTTGAGGGGGAAGGAGGGAAAGAAGGAAGGAAGGAAGGAAGCAAAAAAAAAAAAAAAAAAAAAAAAAAAAAAAAAAAAAAAAAAAAAAAAAAAAAAAAAAAGAAACACAAGACTCACGGGCAAATCAAACCCCGATTAGCCACCGTCCCACTCATGCTCCCAATCAGCACCATACTCCCCGGCCACCCATTTTCCACCATGACCCTCGCCACCGCCTGCGCCGTCATAAACACCCCCGTGACATTCACGCTCATCATCTTGTCCGCATCCTCCTTGCTATATTCCAACGCGCTCGTCTCCTGCTGGATCCCCGCCGCAGCAATCAACCCATCCATCCTGCCCTCCTTCTTGGCAATCCCCTGCACAACTTCATTCAGCGCCTGCTGATTACGCACGTCCACACGGTGATAAGTGATGCTAGACCCCAATTCCTCGGTGGCGCGCTTAGCAACGGCGGAAAAGGGAGAGTCGGGATCGGTGGAAGGGTCGGGCAGAATGTCGACGACGTGCACACGCGCGCCGGCTTCGAGGACGGCCTCGGCTTGAGTGAGACCGACGCCCCGCCCGCCGCCGGAGATGAGGATGACTTTGTCCTGGAGGGAGAAGAACTCGGGGAGGCGTTTGGTGCGGTCGAGCTTGAAGGGTTCGGAGGCAGGGAGGGGACGGGAAGGGGTTTGGTGGAGGGAGCGGGTGTGGCTGAAAGGGGTGGTAATGGGTTGGGTGATGGCTCGGGGTTGGTGTTGGAAGAGTGCAGTGGTGAGTCTGGGGGAAAGGCGGGAGGTTGAATTGGGGACCATGGTGGTCCTGAGGGCCGAGATGGCCTTGGTGGTGAGTCTGGTCATTGTAGTTGATGGTAAGATTGCTGGACTGGGTTCTCTGAGATGTTGTATTGAGAGCTTGCAAGAGTGTCTGTAAATGAGGGTTTGTTAATGACTTTGGGGGCAAGCCAGACAGGTGATGTTATATAATCACTGGTGATGAATAGAGGGATCAAGGTGCTTGTCTAATTCATCAATCTACGAGTCACTCGTAGGTCGAGATCAAGATGATATTGCCAAGGAGGACAGATACAAACAACGAACAAAACACCAGAGGGGGAAGATGAGAAGGGAGCGGATTTGCTAAGTATGTACGATGTCGCTGTTGGTAAGATGTGATCCCAAAGCAGAAAGAACGATCGACGCAATGCCAGTTTTGACACCTGCAGCTGATGGATGTCGAGACGAATCGGTGCATGGCAAACCAACAACTGGACAAGCACCCCCTCACCTGAGAAGTCAACCTTTGGACTCGGCACGATGTGATGATGCATCACCACTCCCGTTTCTTCGCAGGAATCCTCGTTCTAGATCTTCATCTTGCAATGTTAGAGCCAACAGTCCCAATGTTGGAGCATAGCCTCCCGTTGAGGAGGGCTCGCTGAAGTTTGGTTTCCGCCTTCCTTTGCGGGCCAATGTTTGGTACAGAGCACCCTAGAATCTGGATTATCCCAAGTCAGCGAAGCACAAAAGCTCTAGATGTCGCAGTACGGGAATTCAAAATCCAATGCAACCTTGCAAGCTTGGCAAATGTCGAAGGATGAAGTTATCCTGGGACGGTTTACCGATTTTGGGGAACCCGGAGGGGGAAAACGAGGGGAACATCTCGACACTCAAGAGGAGGTGGCGTTCCGCCCTGCTTTTGAGAGTGGACAGAGTTGTGAAGGGTGCCGATTGAACACTTTAGAGCGCACATTGCCAAATCTACCATGCATGGCTGCGGTCTTGTTCTGATGGAAATTGATAGCAAAGGGGAAAGTCTACCTGTGCATGATGGTGAGGGGTTGGAAGGGGAGAAAAGCCGCCAATGGAAATACCCAGAGTGAGACTTGATAACTTTAGGTTCCAGTAGCTCACTCCCTCAGGAAGATACGTAGAAACACTTGACTCTTCTTTAGTCTGGTGTCCTTATGGCATCGGTCGTTTCTCTCTCCAACATACAGGAAAGAGCGTAGTTTTAATTGCCAGCGCATGACGCTCAATAATAACAGCTGTTTGCTATAGTGTACATGGCGAGAACTGTCGGCTTGTGTAGCACTTGTGCCACCTTAGCCGAGCACATTTACCCGGACTTGACGGTCCGCTCCTGAGGTGTGAATATCGCGTGTAACCCAACCATTTCATGTTCCGCTGTCAGAAAGGGGCATCCCGGGGCAATATCATGCATGCAATATTGTCCACGATTGGGAAGTGGATGATGCGACTGAGGAACAGCAGCAGTTGACCAAGTCCTTCTCCTTCGGGGTTGAATACTAACCTATGGGGCCGTTGCGGGAGACCCACCTGGGCTCCAAGCCCGGCCGGACCCCGCTTGACACCCCCGACCCTCGACTTGGCGGCACCGCGGGGGACGGGACCCGGGAGGTCCACCTTGTGTGTTGACTGCCGGACCATGCGGCGGCCGGGTAGGGTAACCGTACTGGCTTTCAAAGCAAAGTAGTGTACTGCACCACCTGCACTGCGCAGTGCAAAGCATCAATGCATCAGCCACGCTGTATGTACAAATTTGGCGTCAGCGCCGTTTGCCCGTCCTCAGTCGCTGTGTCTGGGGGTTGACGCTATCACAACACCTTTGCGACGCTCCTGACCATGGTGGCTTGGCGAAGACCCTTGGGGGTTTGGGGCTCTCGCTAAAATCCCCGCCCCCGGACGACGATAGCAGCGCTTGTTTTGTCCCATGCCGCCGTATTCGCAACCAGCAGCAGCTAAGGCTCGACCGAAATGGGTGGGACAGATTTGGAAAAAAGCCCCTTTGTAGGTCGGAAGAGCACTGACTGCACTGTTAACAAGCGCTGACAAATGTTGGGATGCGCTGGTATGTATCTAATACAGATCGTCCCGGTGGTTGTGGCCGTGGTCATGTCGGCATTACCGAGAGAGAGAGAGAGGAACAACGTGGCTGATGGAATCTCCGATGAGAAGACCCAAGAGGTCCTCCTTCGGAGCCACGGAGGCCCTCGGTGTCTGTCTAGGGACTCGTCAACCAACGGAAAGGTGGCGGGGCGGGAGATGGCGTGCCATGTCGAAAATCGTCATCGCCGCTTGGTGGATGGTCACTCCAGTCTCCAGATGAAGATGAGATGCGAGACAAGGACGGTTCCAGCGGCCGGGATGTGGAGGGAGAAAAACCTGGATGAAGCCGGCGCGGATCAAAACCCAAGGGTCTCGAGCTTTTTCCCCACCACCACCTCCACTGCCGAGATGATCTCCTGCGCCGCATCCGAACGATCTATGGTGGGAGGGTTCGTAGCCCGTGGAGCCATGTTGGAATAGCCTGTACGTAACAGGTAGGTCACAACTATAAACTGCATGATTACCTTGGTTGTGTGGCCCGCGACACAGATGAACTTGGTGATATAGCTCCGGGCGGTCTCGCATTCCCAAAAACATACGTTCTTATCTTCGGAGAGTTTCGGTTTTTCAGACGGAAGCATCCTCGAAACCAGGGGCGCGTGTCATGCTCGCGTCAGTAACATAGAGATGAACAAAGGGGGACAAATTCAGGATGCGCAGTTTTGAAACATGAAACAAGATGTTCAGGGACCAACGATGACGGTGCGCGACAATGTCGACTATGGTAGTGTACACAATACATATGGGGATGGGGAAGCTCGGGCCACCCAGACCAGTGTCATCTCTTGTGTAGTGTATCATCCATGAAATACCGGAACAATGGATCTGTCATGTTTTCTTAGCGGTGTGTGCGAACAAGTCTTGGACGACTGGTGAAGATAAGCACTAGCAATTATCTGATTCTTGGGTCTTTGGACTGGCCATCACCAAGCCAACAACGATATTACAGGAATCACGCGACCATAATATCGCGCAACGTCTTCTTGATCGAGGTTCGCTCGTCAGCGCGCTCGACAGCAGGACGTTGTGGACGCACTCACACCGCCCAAGTGCGAAATCTGACGGGTCAGTTGGTTGCCAGGACAATGGCTTTGAATTGTTGCGTGCCAAGATATGTCTGGCAAACTTTGAATCTGACGTGCACCCCGACATACGGCATATACAAAGTCGTACGACAGAAGTGAAGCGAGCCGAGGTTGGTGTAGTCATTCTAGATCGTCCATCGAAGCTTCGACCGTCCATTGTCCAATCAACGCGGCCTCCCCCCAAAAAAGTGCAAATTCCGCACTCTACCACGTTGATCCTGGTGCGGCCACGGCGACGGCGGACCACAGCTTCGAAAGTCGAGACGCTGTCTTGCCGTTGCAGACGCGCGACAGAAGGACAAGAAGAAAATTCGGAAATTTGGGGGGGTTCCTGTATGAATATCAAAAGCCGGCCATGAATGGATTTTCCTTGCACGGCGAGAGCGACGAACGGTGCACCATCAAGCACCCGCCCCCCCAGTTCGAGTCCTCCTCGGCTCATCCATGCCGACCCCGACCACGCCCGTTTCTCTCGCCGCCCAGCCTGCCGGTCCACGCAAAATCTCCAATGAGTATGGCCGCTACAGACGCCGGGCCAATCCAGTGGTTAGGGTCTGTTCTCGACTGGGGTTTGGGTCTCCATCTCCATCAGCTAGTTGCCAACCAAGGCAACCCTCACGTCTCATCTGTTCAGGTTTCATCTCTTTGCCCGACCGTTGATATCCTGCTCGAAAAAAGAAAAAAAAGAAAAAAAAAAGAAAAAAAAGAAAAAAGGAGAAAAAAAAGGAGAAAAAAAGAAAAGAAAAAAAGAGTTGAGACACAACGAACTGCCTCAGCCGACTAGGGGCATTTTGAGTAAGGATTTTCTTGTCGACTGGGTCGTTCTCAAGTCACCAACGGTCACAGGACACAACATGGCGCAAGACATGGCGGGATTATATCCGTCTGTCGACGTCGGCCTGCAGAGGTACGTCTGCGCGCTGCCGAGCTTCCGAACCAGCCGCCTCTTGTTGTAGTGTGCCCAGTCGTCGCCAGTGAGCCATTGAGCCGCCAATGCACGCCTTCAAAACCAACCGTATCGCGGCAGTTCAGACGACATCACAAGCTGATGACAATAGTCACCGGTAGTGAGGTGACCAAAAGAAGCGGTAAGAACAATATCAGCCGTCCATGGGTTGCATCCAACGCCATATCATTTGCATCATGCATGCGAAGCCGTTGTGAAATCCCCACGAGTTGAACAAGGCCACCTTTTGTTGGGGTGTTTCAGAGCCTCCTTTTGAACCATCCAGTCATCGTTCGTCCTGACCATGCTGTCTTTTGCATCTCATCTCCGGCATCTGTGCAACACATGGCCGCGTGTGTCTTTTTGCGGGCATGGAGGCAAATCCGGCTCTCATGTATGCATCAGTACCACTAACACTTATCAACTATCACTACCACCACCACCATCTCAACCGCAACAACAAGCAAGAATATCATGGAACTGCGGTGTGGGGTTGCTCGGCCCTGGTTCATCTCATCAAATCTGTAGTGACACCCTCCCGTCCTTGATGCCATGTATCATCGACCCGCACAACACGGCAAGTCACCTATTCATGGAAACAACGGGAATGGCCTCCCACTTTCCCGCTCCCCCATGCTGGCGATGGCATTGAACGTTGGCGGTTTTGCGGTTGGATCCTAGACGGTACCCCCGAACCCCGGCAGGGCTGAGGCTCGACAAGAACAGAAAAAAAAAAAAAGAGATTGGAGTTAAATCACGGCTAGAAGCGACCCCTGCTCACCACATGGCACTTACTTTCCAACGAAACAAGAATTTCAACATATGACAGACGGTGAATTTTTCACTCAGGCAGTCCAATTACCTCTGATTTAATGCCCCTTGTGGATATCGTACGAGATAACAACGACTGATCGGGCTATTCTGACTCGCCGAACCCTGGTATGAGCGAGGATGGCCAATGTTCCACTCTTCATGGATGATGGGTCCTTGTATCCATTGGACCTTGTCTGGAAGGGGTCCCTTTGGGCACATGCCCTGCCTTTACCAACTATCGTGTGGCCGGGGACGGAAGAGATCTGTTGAGGCCCCAGAAGGAAATGTCCACATCATCTTTTTCTGTTTCTTTTAAAGAGAGATAAATATTTCCCCATCTCGCGCCTTGTCGCTGGCATCACACTCCGCTCACTGGTTTTGTCGTCCACCATCTCGCCCTCGCCCTTGGAGCTCCACCACACCAAAGCCTCCCTCAGGAAAAAAAAAAAAAATCGCCTGACACTTGTCAACAGTCATGGCTCTCACTTACCAACAAAGTAAGCTCGTCAGAGATACTATACCCGCTCTCAAGGAGCACGGTGAGAGGATAACGAGCATCTTTTACAAGACTATGCTCACCGATCACCCGGAACTCAACAACTACTTCAACTCGGTAAACCAGAAGAATGGCAGGCAACCTCGGGCCCTGACGGCCGTCATCTTGGGCTTCGCCTCAAACATTAACCATCTTAGCGAGCTCGTCCCCAAGTTTGAGCGCATGTGCAACAAGCACTGCTCGTTGGGTATCCAGCCAGAGCACTACGAGGTTGTCGGCAAGTATCTCATCCAGGCTTTCGGCGAGGTTTTGGGCCCCGCGATGACACCCGAGGTGCAGACGGCATGGACAAAGGCATATTGGATGCTGGCCAAGATGTTGATTGGGCGCGAAGCACAGTTATACAGGGACTTTGAGAGCTGGCCCTCTTGGCGCCCTTTCAAAATCGACAGGATTGTCAACGAGTGCGATGACCTCTACACCTTCTATCTTGTTCCTCAGGATGGAAAGAAGTTACCGAAATTCCTCCCCGGCCAGTATGTCTCCGTCCAGATCCAGGTCCCTGGTGGCAACCTCCAGTCCAGACAGTATTCCCTCAGTGAGGCGTGGAGGGAGGATTACTACCGTATCACCATCCGCCGAGACGAGGGTACCGTCTACTCCAACTCAGTTTCCAAGTCCTTCTTCAACCCCGGCATCGTCTCCAACTACCTTATCGATCAGACTACCGTCGGTTCTATCCTCCAGGTCTCTCACCCGGCTGGCGAGTTCTTCTTGGACGTCCACAACACAAGCACGGTGCCTCTGGTTCTGATTTCTGCTGGTGTCGGCGTCACTCCCATGGTTTCCATCGCCAACACCGTTATGGAGAGCCAACCCAGTCGCCAAATTGCCTGGATCCATGGCTGCCGCAAGCATATCCCCTTTGAGGACCACATCAAGACTTTGCGCAAGAAGAATAGCAACTTCCAAACCAAGATCTTCAAGACCGTCATCAACAGCACTGATCGCCCCGGCGAGACATATGACTACAACGAGCGCATGGACCTGGCCAAGCTCAAGCCCGAGGAGCTCCATCTTCAGCATGGCGGCACTGAGTACTTCATCTGCGGCCCGGAGCAGTTCATGATCAACCAAAAACTCTACCTCATGCAGCAAGGTGTCTCGGCCTTGCGCATCAAATGCGAGATCTTCACCACGGGCGATTTGGTTACTAAACAGGGATGAAGCGCACGGGATCCTGAGGTTCAGGAGATTAGTCATGACTTTGTCAGTCCGTCGTCGAGTAATTACCGGTCTATGATGCCCTCGCGGTGTGACCCACCACAACATCAACAACAACACGATTATCATCAAAATCAACGATACCGACATACCAAGAAGCTGGGTCTCATAATAGAGACCATCGATTTGATAGAGCAGGAGGCTGGGGACGAAAAGAGGGTGGCACAGATAAGCAGAGAAGGAGGAGGTGGATGGGAAAATGTGGCGCCTGATCCGCGCAAGGCGAGAAGGTCTCCATCGCTTTCCACAAAGCTGCCCAAATGGAGAAACCACGCCGCCGTGTCCGGGCTCAGCACAGGCAGCGGCACTCAGAAACTACCCCCGACTCTGCTCAGCCCCTCTTCAACAAGGACCCGACGAGACATGACAATACCACCACCAACAACTACGGCGATGCCCGGTATGGGTATGCGCGCCGCGTCCGGATCGCACGTGCCACGTCAATCATCTGTGTCAACAACGGCATGGTCTACCTCAGGACCCAACAGAGGAGGAGGAGAGAAGAGAAGAAGAGCGTCGATATCGGTGGCGGGAAGCATAAGCACTGGGATAAAGAAGGGATCGGCATCTCTACGGGATAATGTGCATTATTGGGTATCGAGTGCGGTTGGCGGCGGGGACCATCGGTATCAAAAGATATCATAACCTCATCAACAAACTTAAGCATATATGGGAGCGGAAGTGGACAAAACAGGAAAAGGCTGCACTGATAGGCGTTGGGACGAAAAAAATAAAAGTGATACCAAGCAGGATGAATGGGAATTAGGGGAGGGTTAATTTAGAGTTGAAACTTCTCTTATGTGTTTAAAAAATCAAGCGGGCCTTCCTTCTGCTATATATGTTTTCTTTCAACTGTACAAAAGTTGTAATATCAAGAATGATTGGGATGGGGTGAGATGGAATGGGAGTCGAAAGGAAATGACATCAAATTTCTTGACTTTATTCTAGTTTTCTTTTCACGTCGAGCTTAGACGTGACCGACTCACATTCATTTGGAGGATGATGCTGCCTTTCCAAAACTGGAGTCAAATCTTCAGCTCTTTCTGAAAGGCAACGGTGGTTCCTTCCCAAGTTTCAACACATCCAGACAGATGGAAACAGCGAATGTCTCTATTAGTCCATTGAGCCAGTAGGTAGATCAAGCATTCCCACCGTTCCTTACCCTTTGAACGTGTCGCTGCCAATCCGAGGTAGTTCCCCGCCATCAGAACTGGACACTGAGAATTCAACTGAGTATTTCATATTCCTCAACATCATGTGTTTCAAAATACGAGCTGCTATTTCTAGTGAGTGAATCATCTGACTCTCATTTTCCTTCCCCTCAATAAATGTTTCTCTACCCATCACCAACCACTCATCAACATCACGACCGCGAAGACCAAGAACAATCATCCCTTTGATCCAGAAGGAAGTTTAAGCCAACCTTCAATCACAACCGAAAACACGATCGACTCAAACCAGACAAAAAACAAAGCGTGGACCAGACGAGATGCCTACTTAAGATAGACCGAGCGCTCTTCCCCCCCGTGAAGTCCAAGTCCAAGCCTTTCCCTCGTCCTCCCCTGAGACCCCCAAGAACACCGCCTAACTCGCCTTCTTAAAGTTAAGAAGCAACTTCTCCAATCCCTACTCTACCTATCGCAGTCGATAGCTACCTGTGGTAAGCAACGAGATGCAGCTGGAGACAAGGAGGGCAAGTCGCTCACTTGGTCCTCGTTGGCAAACCAGAAGGCTCTCCATTCACACCAGATAACTAAGGAGTTGAGCGGCCTGATTTGACGGTGATGGAGGGACTGAGAATTGAGCGAACTGGATCGCAACGGCGACTAAGAGGGAATTGAAGGGAGGAGGTGCTAGGCAAACAGAGGACTAGGGACCAGAAAAGTATTCTGTGGGATGCAGGCATTTAGGTTTCTCGGAAAACTGACTGGTTTTTGAGAAGTGAATGGATGTGGTTTGTAGGTAGTTTAGTGTAAGACAGGGCTGTACCTACCTTTCTTTAGGCCTTGCTATTAATCCACATAACTGGCCTCGATTCGCCTTCTGCTCTGACTCTAGCTTTATGCTGCTGTGTGCTCCTCATGTCTTAGCTTCCCTGATCTTGTAGTTGTTTTATCTTTATTGTATGTAGCGTGCGTGCTGTGTCTCCGCAGATAGGCTGAAACCATGTCCTGTCTTCTCCTGGTCTTCAGCTTCTCACATCTCTTTATGAAACCACCACTACCACCCCATGAAGTTCTGTATTGCCTTCTTCTTTTCCCTTTTCCTTCACCCCGTTCATCATCATTTCCTCACCTACTCTTCAATACAATTCACCTCCCAACCTCTCACATCCCTCCCCCCTCCCCTTCTTTGAACCCGCGCCTCCAATTCACCTACGCTACAGCCTTCACAACCCCACCCCCTTCCACCCCTTTAACCACCCCCTTCGCCAATCCCAACCGTCTCTCAATCTCCTCCTCGCTCGCACCCCTTTTCCTCAACTCAAACACATCCTTGACCATCTGCACCGACAAGAATTCCCGGCCCTGGAAGCTCTTGTCGTTTCTCCCAAACTTATCCATCTCCTCCTCGTATTTGCGCTCCAAGACTTTACGCGCATCAAGCGCCGTGAGGGTGGCGTTGGATTGCAAAGCGGGGAACGAGGGCGACAGGAGCGTGGGGATGTTTTCCTTTTGGGGGGATTGTTGTTGTGCGTGAGACTGAGATTGAGACTGAGAAGCGGACAGTCGCCTGGAAGGGAACTGGTGGGACTGGGATTGGGAAGAGGAGGAGGAGGACTGCGGAAGGTGCTGCGATTGAAGCTGAGGTTGAGGATGAACGGAGACGGTGGACGACGGCGAGTGGATGGGGTTGGGTTGGACGGTGGCGGAGAGTTGACGCAGACGGGCAGCGAAGGCGGGGTCGCCGATTGCGTCGAGGGGAGAACCTGAGCTTGTTGGAGATGGAAATGAGGAGGTTGTTGATGATGATGATGTCCTTGTAGGTGGTTGTTGATGGTGGTGGTGGTGGTGATCGTGGTGAAACTGATCTTGGGTCGGCGTCGCTGCTGCTGCTGCTGCGGGGTTGGGGGTGGTTAGGTCATTTCATTCGTAACTAGGTAGCTCATAGAGCAAGGGTTAGGATCCCAAATGACATGGGTTTGATTATTTACCTTCTTCATAGGTATTTGATGAAGCTGAATCCATCTGCGACTGCGACGGGGCCTCCTGTCCCCCGTTTACGCGAGGAGGGGGGGCTCTTGGTGCGGCAGCGGTGCCAGAGCGCGACGCGGCGGCGAGAGAGGCGGTTGTCGCATTTTTAGGTAATTTGCGCGCAACCTTTGAGGATCCCGCACCCATTCTCTCTAGAACTTTCGAGACGGACGGACTTTTGGAGTGGTGGTTTTCACAGTAGTTGTTGATGCTCACAGTCAGGACTGTCAGAGTTGATGTGTCGTCATTCAAATTGTGACAGGGGTATGCTTGGAGCTACTTTGACCTGAGGGTTATCTATAGGGCGCTTCGCCGCGTCGTCTTGGCAACCATGTTTGAGCCGTTGTTGTGGTTTTCTCGCCCCGATTTTCTTTGAACTTTTACTGAAGAGAACTGGACAGTAGATGGCTTCGGTGATTTATTTGGAAGCTAGGGAGTAACATTCTTCTAAGTATCGCGACGTTTGTGGCGAGAATCCCGTTAACCTCGCATAACCCTGACCGCTTGCCCTTCATACCCCGAACCCTACATCTCCTCCTACCAAGCTTTATACCATACATGGAGAGCTCCCGGATTCGGTTCACTTACAAAGTCTACTCCGAGATCGGGCTCACTTGGCCTGTAAGAACCTGGCAGGCCGTTTTGATATTCTCAGAGAAATTGACCCGAGATCAAGTCTGAGCCTGATTGATAACTCCATGCCTCTTCTCAGATACCGTTACATAGCTTATGGATCCTCAGCTATTGATACCCAGAGAAAAGCGGTCGGTAGCTGAACTGGTTGAGGCTCAAATGCATGAACGACTGCTTCCGTCGAGTTCTTCACTTCAGATATAATAACCTTGGTGGAGACAAACTACAAGCATATCTTGAAACGCCAATTGTTTGCATGTCTATGGTACGGAACGTTACCCGCCCAAACGGCGTTCCGATCGACTCTTGGGACTAATGCATCAACCACACTTCAGGGACGAGTCACCGAGATGTTGGAAAGCTCCCCCACGTGGCAGCTTGCTGAGGGTTCTGATGCAGCATTCGACTGCTCGATTGTCCCTTTCAGGCAGACGAAAGATTGGAAACAGTACTCAATGAGGCCCATGACATATTAGCAAACACATCAGTGGCATGTGACAATCGAGCTTCTTGATCAACAAACTGAAGGTTCCGCGTGAAGTGTCTCCCATCCCGTGTCCGCCCGTAGGCCGTACCACGCCGGCAGTGGAAATCAAATTCCGCCTGACTGCCAGACTAAAAGGGGCCGACCACCGTGGATTGCTGAGGGCTGAAAGGCAAGGAGCCTAGCTGGGAAGGGTCGAGATAAGTACGTATTGGGGATGGAGTGGATAGGTTTGTTTATGTATTTCCAAGTTGAGTGAGGTCTCTTGTTTTCAGTTTTTCGGTCTTGTCCAGTCCCATGTCGCGATGCCATGCCGTGGGGAATATGGGGCAGATGGGGGAGTTGAACAAGGAATGGGTGTTGAGAGCACCGAGGTGGCCCCACCAGAGCCCATCACGCAATAGCGACCGTGGGAGGTTGGGAGAGGGCTAGAACGGTAGTCAAGTGGTCTTAAGAAAGACCCATACGCCGTTGGTATCGCTGTCCGTGAGCCGTGGATAGCGCCGTGTCCCCCACGGAAACAGTTCCGAAACTTGATCGGATGCCGGTCCATGTCGAGCGATAAAGAAGCATAGAGCCATTACCTTTCCGGGCTGAGCTGGAGACAAGACTGATGTGGAATTGGGCGGTGCTGTCCGGGTCTTTTGAATTTTACCTGACAGCATCACTTTCAATGACAAAGGAGATGGCGTTGTGTTGTCCGTGGTTGATGGCGATTGATCTCGCAATAGACTCGGATGGGCGTGGAATGAACTTGGTGCGGGTTGTGTGACTCAGGGTATGATCTACCGCGATTTCTGTTTGGCGTTTTCACCGGCTGAAAATGGCCGAGGAAAATCATCGGTGTTACCGAAATTCTATAGAATCGCCCCGCTTACCTATCAACCTTCCAGCCAACCAGAGCCCTCAACTACTTCTTGACCCGGTGAACCAAAAAAGATGGGAGGTGAAGTTCTCGTTAGTACTGAATGCGCTAAAATGTGTAATCCTGAAGCCACTATAATCAGCCCAACTCCAACACCAAAACAATGAAATCACCATTTCCACCAAAGCACACCAAAGAGTATTGCACCCTGGTGAAAAAGCCCAAAGTACCTTTTCCACGGTGAAATAAGCCCCAAGAATGGCTTCGAATCACGCCTTTGGGCAATCAACTCAATTCCTATATCCACAGTATATTTAAGTAATTTGGCCCAAGCTTAATCAACTTCCAAGACTCGCTTCGTGCCTGTCTGTCAGGGACCGTCAGGGACCGCTACCTTACGTACCTTTAGGAGGTTACGGCCAGGCGAGCTTCAGTGGGATTGCCCCAAACTGCCCAGCATGATGGCGGGGGCGGGCCTTGGCGAGATCCACTACAAAAGATTCGTCATCCTCGATTTTCACACAAGGGAAGAGTCCACCTCAAAGTGTCAACAACAAGTGTCCACACTGACTGTTTGAAACGAAACCAAAAAGGTCGTTCAGTGGAAGCGATGACAAGAGCATGGTGATGTTGTCCTTGTGTGGATATACGTATTGTAAGGGATATGTTAAGCTCAAGAGTGACTTGCTATAGCTGAAAACCTCCCAGTCTGGAGAAGAAAAGCGTCGATTGGGTCTTTGGACTGTACCTTCTTAAAGCGTCAATTAGAGAACAATCGGACTAAAGACAAGCACTTGGCGTACCCATTCCACACGTGGTGTTCGTCGCGCCATGCTGCTGTCCGGTCAGAGTTCGTTGATTTTGTCAAAGGTGCAAACCATTCGCCAGCGCTGTCATTCGTCGGCTGCTTGCCACATGTAATTCTTATAAGCACGGAAATGCGGCCTATAAGCCGTCTTATCCAATGAGAATGTGGGTTTGAGTCTCCAGCCATCCCGCGGCCCCGCAGTTTGACGCAGCGTTGCAGCGCAAGTCAGGCTTTGCAGGGCACTATCAAAATCTTTCGCGCCATTCAGTTCCCATTTCAGTCGTCGATGTTACGGGGGAAAGAGCAGAGCGGCACTGAATCCCCCGCTTCAACACACGACTCCTCACGCAGTTTACCTACCTACCTAACAGTTCCGCCACCGTCAATGTTGCTTCATGTCACTACTATCTTAGATACCTCTGCGCGTCTATTGTCTCTCTTGAAACCCCCGAACGAAGGGGCTATTCATCCATCTTCAGCATCACGCGGCATCACACTGGACACGCCAGAGGTACCGTCCGGGCACCAGCCAGTGACCGTGCATGCATATCTGATATGTACCTCCTCTGAATATTACATACCTCTCCCATAGTAGGTACACCATTACAGCACAATTCGGTAATCCACATCCGCAGCAACTGGTGTCTTGGCTTTGGCAATCACTGAAGACATCGGCTGTGACTCTTATTAACTGCTTGGCTAAGCAGAGGTTTGACCGGCGACCCCATCGCCAAACTTGATTGGGCCGATTCGACTGGGTCCGGGTCTGCATTGGTCTGCAAGGCTAGAGAGGTAGCAGCAGCTGCGGAAGACGGAAGACGGGACAGAACAGGAAGAGCTCTCTCTTGCCAGGTACCTTACCCATCGCCAGTGCCGCCATCAACCTTAAACACGCCGGGCGTCCCCCCAACTTCCCGATCTCGGATTCCCAATTTCTTCACCATCACCCTCGACCACCGCCCATCGGCCCATATCGCCCATCGCCCCATCGCGACACCGGACCACCACTACGACGCCTGCCCGGATACCGTACCGGATCATCGGGTCGCCCCATCACGCGACCACCGCGCCGCCCTGGACGTCTACCGACCCGTTGACGCCACCGGCCCGCCCAGTTTTTCCTCCGATCGATTGACTACTGCCGTGTGCCGCCCCGGCTGCCGCTCCCGTGTTTTGATACGGTTCGGCCATAGGAGCATTTGGCTAGTGAGACCACTTTAGCTCCGAGGACTTTGTACCACAACACCAGCACGCACACCTCTATACTATACTATACCATACAGTCTTCAGTACTCTCCGTCTCTGCTATTTCATCACCATGGAGAGCCCCGAGTTCTCGGCTGGTATGCGCAACCAGGGCCCCAACGGTGGTCCCCCAAAGCGCAAGCGTAGCATCATGGAAAGCAGCCCTGCTAGCACAGGAGACAACGACCGTGAAGAGCGCGACGATGGCTCCCCCGAGACCAAGGGTGGCCGCCGGCTGCCCGGTGTCAAGCGCGCCTGCAACGAGTGTCGTCAACAAAAGGTATGAATCTAAGAAGATAACTGCCGAGTCGCGAACCCTTCTTGCTGACATTTCGTCTTCTTACAGTTGCGATGCGATGTCGTTCAAGAACCCTTCTCTAGCTGCTCACGATGCAACCGTCTACACCTCGAATGCAAGATCGAATCCAACTTCAAGCGCGTCGGGAAGCGTAGTAAGCATGCCGAGATGGAGAAAGAGATCGAGAGGCTCAGACGCGCGGTGCAAAGTGCAAAATCCCAAGGTTTTGTTGTCGACGAGGACGATGACAACAACACCCCAGGCAATGCCACGCACTCCCAACTACACTCCCCTGTGATTAACAGCCATTACTCGCACACAAGGAATCCATCGTTGATGGGCTCCGACGAGGCTGTCTCTTCTCTGCTTCACCTGAAGCGTGGAGGCTCCTATGCCATGCCCAGGATCGTGCGTGAGCTTGAAGACTTCAGGATAACGGAAGATGACGAAGGCGTTTTGTTTAACGACTACTTCCACTACTATCACCCATTCCTCCCATTCCTCAATCCCCATCAGACCCCAGACCAGTACTACCAACAGTATCCTTTGCTTTACTGGGCCATAGTGGCCGTGGCCAGCAGGCGCTATGGCCACGATCGATCATTCTTGACAAAGCTATCCAGCCCTCTGACAAGATTGCTCTGGACTACCATTGGCGAGGTGCCTCAAAGCTACTTTGCTGTCAAGGCGCTGTGCCTCCTCTGCACATGGCCTCTTCCGACCAGCACATCATCATCCGACCCGACCCACATTCTGGGTGGTGTCCTGATGAAGACGGCCACCGGTCTGGGTCTTCATCGACCAAATCACATGAACGACTTCTCGAGGGTGCCTATAGAGCTCAACAAGGAGGGTCTCCATGATAGAATCAAAACGTGGGCCGTCGCCAATATCGTGGCGCAGGCTGTAGG